CAATATTTTATTTATAATTTTTTTATTTTTTTTTTTATTTTATCAGAAGTTTTCTCGATAACTATTTATCACAGAAGACTGATTTTTTTGTATACGATAGAAAATTAAATTTTCTTTCCAACGGTACCAAACATAAAAGGTTATCGCTAATAAGTCCGGTGGTATAGACCGCTCCGGGTGCCAAAAATCGAGCAAAATCTCAACAAAAATAAGAAAAATTAACTTTAAAATTGGTCTATATAACGTTTTTTACATTTCTACCGGTCTTAAAGACTCAAAAAAATGCATAAAACGTTATTGGGTTAAGTTTAAAAATTTTCAAATGTTTTGAGTTTTTGAAGGTGAGCTGTGAAAATAGTCAGTTTGCCTTAAGTCGTAAAAACGCTTGAAATATGGTTTTCTAGACGTAAAATTACCCGCTAAACACGATGCATTAAGTTAAAATACTCTACGATGCATAGTTTTTGAGATATTGAGTAAAAAATTAAGAATAAGACTTTATGAATCTTGTTAAAAAACGTTTGAAACACTAAAAATCAGCTACAGAACGACATCTAAGAGCGCAGTAAGAAACCTATGAACAGGAAACTCTGTTTCTCCACTGTCAACTTTTTATTTGGTAGAATAACTCTTTCATATCTTTAATAGGCAAACTAATTCTATACTAAAATAATAAAACATAAATAAAAAATGAATAACCGCTTCATTTTTGTGCTGTAAAAGAAACTCAACTCAAAAACTCAAGCATTATTACAATATATTTTGAAATTATTTATTATGATTACATTTTCGCTTAGTACGAGATATATTAAGTTGCATTAACAAAAATGCTACTTTTTTCCGAGATTTATTCCAAAATCTTCACTCGCAACACAGTTAAGTTAAATTCTGACTCATGTATTTAATACAACATACTATAAAAGTTTTGCGATAAAACAGTTATATAAAAATAAAACTCAATGAATATTTTCATTTTAATTTTATTATTACTCTCGTCTACATACGCTTATTTGTAAGACACAATTATTCAATTACTTTTATCATTTTATCACCACACTTCCCACCGACATGAAAACTTTCGAGGATAATAAAGAAAAATTCAACTGAAATAAACACAAATTTTATTGTTACAAACTGTACTAACATGTAATACTTCTTGTAAAAATGTTTTAGGACTTAATAAAATAAACAAAACTGTGTAAATTTATAAAAATTTCGATTGCCCACTGGAAAATCTATCATCAAGTAGCTGCGCTTTCTTCAAAACAGCTTTCTTCTGTGCTTCATCAAACCGATTTACTTGAAGATCAATATCTCGACTAAAAGGTCGTCTCTCTGCCGGCTCCTCCTAAAACAAATAAAATCAAAACCCAACCTAACTCACCCCTAAACCAACCTTTTTCTTCGTCTTCATTTTACTCTGATGCATCTCCAACAAACTATCCTTATTCCTCTTTTTATGCTTCTTAGATATACTCTCCTGTTCTTCATCCCTTTTCCGAATCTCCTTTAACTCAGCTTCTTTCTTCAAATCAATCTTCACGGTCTTCTTACTTTTCTTATCAGGAGTATCAGTCCATGAAGACCTGTCAGACATATCAGGACCGGCTTTACCCCTAAACTGTCTAGGCCCTAAACCAAATTTCGACGCTTTCACTTCCGGTAATTCCAACATCCATTCTTCACGAACGGTTTTCTTATTTTGGATCGGGTCTAATTGGTCCATCTTCAATTGCAATGCCCTTTCTTCAAGAGCTATCTGCGCTTTTGAATAATTTGAAGCACCGACAGGAAGCGGTCCGTAAGCATCTTCGTCGCTTTCTTCCTTATCTGCTTCTTCTTGAAGCTTCTGACGCAGATGAGGAGGTAGTTGAGGCCCTATCCTCATCTTCTCTTCATCTTTTTCTCCCTTTTGAAGCAAGTGAGGTGGTAACTGGGGCCCAATCGAGGAGTCGTTAGTCTCAATTTCTTCTTTTTTGAGCATATGAGGAGGTAATTGGGGGCCTATGGAAGACCCCTGCGTTGCTTCGATTTCTTCGCATCTAAGAGGTAATGTCGGACCTATCGAAGACTCGCCTTCTTCCATTTCTTCTTTTTTGAACATGAGAGGTGGTAGTTTAGGACCAATTGAAGACCCGTTAGTTGATGGATCTTCAGTTTCTTCTTTTCTAAACAGATGAGGGGGCAACTGAGGTCCAATATAGTGTGATTCTGCTTTATCTTCAGATTTTTTTTCTGATTTTTGGTTAACAGAAGTCGTGTCTTCCTTTACACTGCTTGATTGTGTTTTTATTAAACGGGGAGGAAGAGTTTGAGGCTCTTCCACTTTTGGTTTCTTTGAAATTTCAAGAATCGGAGATTTTCTTCGCTCTTTTTCGTATTTCTCTCGATATTTTGGCCTAACTCGAGTTTTTGGAGTTTCAGACTTAGACCTGTCACGTCTTTTGGGAGATCTAGATCTGTCTCTGTTACGTCTTTTGTCCCCATCTCGCCTTTTAGGAGACCTAGACCTCGATCTGTCTCTAATTCGGCGTTTGGAAGATCTAGATCTAGACCTAACTCTCCGCCATCTTGGAGATACAGACCTAGATTTCGATCTACATCTACTTGAAGATAGATTTTTCTGGTGCTTATCTCTGATACTCTCTGTCTTAAAACGTATTCCTTCATCCGAGTCTTGTGACTCGGAGTCAGAGAACTGGTTCATTTTTCTGCAAACAAAAGTGGTTTTAGTGAAAAAAAAAAAACACAGCCGAGGCTTTGGTGTATAAAACGTGAGGTAACTTGGTCCCCTAATCTACAACTACAATTTCTATTTTTAAGACAACATTTTAAGAATTTTCCTAGAACTATATCTGACACTTTTCAACAGTCCTGCTGTGGCGATTGATTTCAAACTCTGTCTAGCCGAAGATTTAAAAACAATGTCTCGAATACAAGTGGCAACTATCAGATCGCAATCAGGATCATACGCTACAGCCCTTAGGACATCCTCAGTGTCTTGTCTAAGTACCCCCTTGTTCCAAAACCTAGTCAAGGCCTTTTGCGGCCATCTTGGCAGCTGATTCAAATGGTGGAGTCTTGCTAAAGGACTAACATCTTGCGAACAAGAAGAACTGACTTTCTGTTTCTCCTTATCAGTTTCTTGTAGTATCGGAAAGTCCACATAATCGGTCAAAGTACTGATAAAAGGCCCATACAAATTTCTAAATGACTGAACTTGTGGCTTGACTATATTCTCAACCTTGTTCTTATTTTCCCCAAAAGTCATCCGAAAATCACCCGAATAACTTATATTACTAATGGTGTAATAAAATTCGTATTCACTGAAAGTATCAGGTAGTAGCAAAAGTGCACAATGCACCGCCGATTGCAAATTCAACTGCAACGCAGTTTGCAACTCCGCACTTGAACTTTTCTTGATTATTTCCACCGGTTTGTGCAACCGGCCTGCCAGGTACAAATCCGACCATTCGAGCAAATCCGTGACCAAATCCTTGGTGGTAATAACCCCATATTTGATCCAAACCCCCTCCAGTGGCACCAACGTGTTAAAATACACCTTCGCACCGAAATTCTCCTGGAATTGGGCCACAAAATTGTGCCCGAAGTACTTCAATCCGCTGTAATGCGAGAAATTCTCCTTCATGTTCGCTTCGTGCCAAGCACTGGGGTTATCAACACAGTAAATTAAATCGATCATGTTGTCCTTTGGCTTCTTTTCGATTTGTTTTTTCACAGCGGAACCGTAAGCGAAACAGAAGGTGAAGTTTTGGGGAAATTTTGATAAGATTCTTGCGTAAATGGGGGCCACTATCATGGGTCTTGTACTTGCCATTTTGCCACATAATCTCACGCTAGCCACGGGTGTTCGAATTTGTGGGTAAACGTGTACAATGGAATTATTCCTCAAGGGAATGGTTTACGACATAGATAAAGGGTAATTTGTTTAAATTTTATAGGTTTATGTAACCTCAAAATTATATGTCGGGACGAAATACCTACCATCAAATGAACTACCACTGCCAACAATGAATCAAAAAAATTGCTAAATAATAAGTGAAACAAGATTTTTAAAATTTGTACTTGTATATTTTTTCAATTAAATACCCAAATAAGTTTTCTTAGTGTAAATAATTGTAATTCATGTTAATAACACCTGTGCTGTTATCGGCATAAATAATTTAAAATTTTCAGTGATTTTGTTTTGTCAATGTTTTTGAACAAATTGTCGGTTATTTGAAATTCGCACAAAATAATAACTTTTTTATTTTTCTTTATTACACTTATGTTATATTTTACCTACGAATAAATCTGATGATTTAATGTCTTGTGATCACTTTGTTGACTCTCTCTTTAATAAGAGACGCAACAAAAAATACAATGTACGCTACAAGGAACACAATAAAATATACAAGAAATTCGCGTTGAGGAGTAAACATATAAATCCCGACATCGTCATTAACAGCACAAACCAAAATAGCATTCATTAGATGAGCCACAAAATAAATGAGCCCAAACACCATTCCAAAGCAGTTATTATGTTGAATTTTGGCGATTTCTGCACTTATTGCTGTGATAATAAAATAATGTACCATTCCAAACAAGACGTAGCAAACGTAATTAAACAAGATATAACCATTGGAAAAAGCTATTCCGCACAAGAGTAGAATATACTGAAATCCAGATAAAACATGCATCGCAACTACAGTCCTTGTTTTCCAATCAATCGATTTAAATCCAGCCACGACGACCCCCAAAAACGCCAAAAAACCTAAAGTAGCTTCAATGGTACCGTTGTATTTGCTTTTGTGTAAGTTTGCCCATAATGGTTGGATAAAAGACGAGATTTGGGTGTAAGTCCATATGGAAAATGCGCACCAAAAAGACCAACGCAGGATGTGATTTTGTCTAAAATTCTCCACAAAATTTGCTTGGAATAAAAATAGTTTGTCTCCGATTCTGTTGGGGGGCGCTTTTTGGACTGTGGCAGATGTGGTGGAGAAGTGGTAGACGTTTTCCCCATCAGTGGGGAGAAAAAAAGTTGTAATAGTGGCTAAAGCGCTCACTGAAAATAACATTATTAATATTTTTTTAATTCAAATTATGGTAAATTTACCAGCTAGGTTTAAGACGTACAGTTCGTCATAACTCATGCCATCACTGTTATGGAAAAGTTGTCCTAAAATTGCAGACAGTGTCTTGCCCATCAGGGCAGCTATTCTGACATATGCCGTGGCCCGTTGGTACGTTGTACCATCATAATGCCCATAAATAAAAATAAAATAAGCCACTTCTGTTGCCGCTGACCCTCCTCGAAAAACCTAAACCAAAATTTTGTTGTTTTCTTTATTTTATGAAAAAATAACAAACCTCCGAAAATTCCATTGCAAGAATGGTAGTGCCCCATTTTTTCGCACTAATGGACACAAGTTCAAAGAAAGCTGAGATTATAATTAAAGTTTTATACCCGATGAGGTCGGCCAAAAGAAACACAAACAAAGAATGAATCGCTGAGCTATAACTCAAAACCGGGAGAATATCACGACGGACTTCTTTCTCCGTTATATTTTTATTTGTAACGAAAAATTCGTACAAGAAAGGGTCAATTGGACGCAAATTTATAAGAAATCCGAATGTGTAGAGCAAATATATGCGTTTAAAGCCCGACATTTCGGAATTTTTCTACACGAGGTAACACCGTTTTGAACTAATAATCGTAAAATTGGCGGTAATGTGTGCACATTATAAGACGTTTTGGTCAAACAGATCTTGTAAATAAGCTTATCTTATTAATTTTATAATTCCTGGAGAAAATATTTGCATGTAATCAATAGGTAGAGGGTTTTAAAAAATATTTTGCACAAATAAAACTAAAAACGGTGTGATCCTTACTAATGTTTGCCCTATATTTTATACTAATTTAAATCATGTTTTGTATGAATTAGACTTGCAAAAAAATAATCTTTGACCTTGAATGTAAATGCAATTGTGTAACCTACTTTGTTAAGTTTATTTGCTTTATCTATTTTTTATATGAATTTACAGTTTATCTATTCAGTTTTATCCTGTCATTCTTTAATAATAATGTAGATAAAAGTAAATTGCTTTGGATTTAACAATTTACGATAATGAAATCTCACAAAAATGAGTCACATTGAAAATAAAAAAGGCGGTAAAATTTCAATTAGCCTACTGGGGCAAGATATCTACTAGCACCAACATGGCGGTAGAGTAGGCAAAATTTTGAATTCCGAGAGTTCAATTCTGCAAGAATAAAACTGCAAACCACTTATTACCATTTATTTTAACCTTTTCTTGCCCATCATTGTAAAAAACCATATAATACTTTTCATAAATTAGTCTGTCCTTGAGCATTTTCAAAGTTTGTTTCCCAAGTTTTGGCGACACTGCAATAAAAAATCATTTGTAAAAAAACACAAAAATACTTCATCATGTAATAACACGCTGTTATACATTTATTTATCACATTTTTGTGAAATGCATTATAAAACATTGTAAAATTTAATTTTTCAGTCCAGAGTTTTATTTGTATATTTCCAATTACAAAACAGTGTAAAAAATTTGGTTTCGGGTATAATACACATAGTTAAAATAAATAATTTGTTACTTTACATTTGTTACAGTTTCGTAAATTGCTTTGGCCACGTAATCGACATTCCCGGGAGTGACTCCACACATGCTAATACGCCCCGATTTCAGCATGTAGATGTGGTGTTTCTCAATCATGTGTAAGGACTGTTTTTCTGAAACCAAACGCAAATAAAACACACTCTGATTGGTCATAAAAGTTACCATTAAGTCCCGTATACGAAAACATGCCAATTTGCGACGTAATATGACTCCAATCCCCTGGAGTATTTAGTTTTTCCAAAGCCGCTCTTAAAGCTTTTCTCATCTCGATAATTCTCGTTGCCATCGTTTTAATACAGCCTTTCCATTGTTCGAACAATTTTTGATCGCTTAGGACGTGTGCTACGATTCTAGCACCATGACTAGGCGGGTTTGAGTACATCCCCCGGACAAGTAAAGTCACCTGTGACTTGACTTTGGGGATAACATCGGTGGTTTTGGTGACAAAAGTTAAATTCCCCACACGTTCGTCTACAAAACATTTTTTTTATTTGCCACTTCCCCAAAATTGAGACTTACTATACAACCCGAAATTCTTGGCGAAAGACTGCGCACACAAAAGCTCAAATCCTCGACTGACGAAATATCTGACAGTCCACGCATCCTTCTCTAAATCCCCTGAGGCAAATCCCTGATACGCAGAATCGAAAAAGGGGAACAGTTTCCTTTTTTCCATAATGTCGGCGATTTGGGCCCATTGGTCCTGAGTGGGATCGCATCCAGTGGGATTGTGGGCGCAGGAGTGCAGGATTATGACTGAGTTTTCGGGGGCTTTGTTGAGGTCTTCCAGGAAGCCTTTGAGGTCGAGACCGCGAGACTCCGCTGACCAGTATCTGTACTCTTTGATGTCGTTGAAGCCGGCGTTGGTGAATACTAATTTGTGGTTCTCTAGGGAAAAGTTCTGATTGGTCCAAAAAAGAGGAAAAATAGTGGAGGCTTACCCCATGTGGGCAAAGAAACGTAGAAGGTTTTGTAACCGACGGTGCGGGCGAGGAACTCGGCCCCGACGCGGAGACAGCCCGTGCCGGACAGGCATTGAACTCCGAAAGCCTGAATTTTAAAACAAAATAAAAATAGAGTTTTTCATTTCGTTTATTTTTGGAAGTTTAACAGGGGATTTATCACCAATTTTCAACAAAACTTCCGATCAAAGCAACCTGTGACTTTAATTAAGTTGGCAACTCCGAATTATTAGTGATAGCAAATTGTGTCAGTGACGGTCATGCCAGCGATCGCCCCTCGGAAATGAATGACAATTGACTATAAAAATGTGACGTTTGAATTTAATAATTTGTGTTACCAACTTAATTCCATAGGACACTTTAGTTAGCTCTCATATTAGGTATAGTAGATTTCATTGGAACTGGCATAATGGTTGGCTATGGAATTTCATATTTAAGTTTGTAGCCCTGCGCATGTCCCTGGTATAACAGTACTTGGGGTTTTTTTTTTTAGTACTACATGGTTTGTATTCGTTTTTTCACTATTTCCGTTACTTGTTCATTATTCCCAGTATTTTTTCAAATTATAATTAAAAATAATTCTCTTCAGAACGTCAGATTTAGAGTACACGCTAAGGTATGTTTGAAAACATAATTAATTATTTCTTTTTGTCGTTTCAAATATACCAATTTGAAAAAAGCCAAATTATTTTCTCCAAAGCAAATAGTGTACGTACACAAAAGGATGAAACAGGGTGTTAAACATTTTATGAAGAAAATTGTCCCTAAAAACCTCTGAGAGGGTTCTTTAAAAAATAAAATTTTGACTATCTTAACCTTATTTTTTTAGTGATAAATTTAGTTCCTTAATATGTAAAGGCTTTTTCACACTTAAAGCGCGGTTTACACAACCATTGCCTACTGTTATGCCAATTTCAATGAAATGGATTATAGAATGTACATAAGATTTTGTAAACAATTCCCCTTTAAAAATATTCTAAACACCATGTCGTAATTTTACTAAAATAAATTTAGATATCAGGAAGACTAAAAATAATTTTTATAGGTTCATTATACATAGAGCTCCAAATTTAAACAGGAAATTCCACTTAAACAGGAATTTTACACTTACAAACGAAAACCAAAGCATATAATTATTATTATCAAAATTAAAGGTCCCTAATTTATTTATTTTTTTTTCATAAATTATGAGCATGAAAAAAAATTCGTAGATCTCCTATTTTTTCCCGAAATAAAATAAACCATTACGTTTTTTACATTAAACACTCTGTATGCCGTTATGTGTAGGTATTTTGAAATTTATAAACTCACCTCATTAAATAAACAAAACAAATATTGAAAAAAAGCGCTAATTACTAGTTATTACATTTTTATGTATTATTTGAATTCAACTTTAATAGACGATTTTTCATGAAACAATAGTAAACTTAAATAATATAAATATAAAATTAACAAAACATACTTAATGTTTATAAAAGATATGTGGAAATAATGACTGTTCCGGATATTAACACAAAAGTTGTTTTTTAGCAAATAAAAAAATTTCTTAATAATCGATTGAAACACACAGTAAATGAACAATCGTCCAAAAAGTAATAAAAAATAATCATTAAAACGGAAATGAATTTTAATTCTTAACAAACACCAATTGTATTTTTCTAGATAAGCGCAAATAAAAACAATTTAAAAATAGATAATTCACTTTTCATGTGACGTCAAGAAATTAAGTATGCAACTCATCATCATCAATAACAGATAGTTGTGATAAATACATATATTTTTAAAGTGTTTATTATTTAATATTGCTTGATAAGATTTCACAAGTACTTCAATTAAACATTACACATTATGAAATGCTTATCAGTTGGCGTAAATAAATAATTAGCACACTTTTAAAACGTGTTAAATTATAGAAAAAATAATTGCACTTTTCATCAGCTGAAAAAAAAATCATAAAAAACAGCCTTGAAAGTAACCTGAATTACCTCTGTTAGGCAAGTCAGTACTTTCTAGCAGGCAATCAGGCACAAAATTGGGGCCATTCCAAGTTCACTCCAAAAAAAATAAAAAACCATTCACAGAAAAAAAAAAAAAACAAATTCATGCCCGCATTCCACATCAACACCCCTTACAGACCCGATTTTCCTTGATGGCGGGACTATCAGCCCCCAGGAGCATCTGAGTCGCCGCCGAGCTGAAAGTATCCAAGCCCAAAACCGGCAAATACTCCTTGTTTAGTTTCTCATCAGCAGCGAGGATCTTTTCAGCTTCGCGAACCACTGGTAAAACCCAAGGTTGACCCTCATTAGTACGATAGGCTATAAAATTGCAAACATTCAAAAACTGCCACACAAAAACACTCAAACGGAACTCACCTCCAACCCCCAAACTGACTTTGTTCGGGTCCTTATCGGCCGCAAATTGTTGATTCAAGGCGAAAACCTCGATAGGGGGCCCTTGTTCGACTTTGGCGAATCTCGACATGTTCACTGAGCGCGGTCACGGTGTGAAACGCCGAAAATTTGCAGTGTTTTGAGTATTAAAAGTTTATCATAGATTTGATTGAGTTAACCTTTTTGACCTGAGAGGGTTTCAAGGGCACGTGGAGCTGCGCACAAGATTTTGACAGGACGTTTGAACTACAAATGGTGCACTAGACCTACAATTACCGGAAAAATAAACATTGATTAAAGGAAATTAATAAAAGAATCAAAACTGTATTATAAGAAAACACTTTGTTACATATTTGTTAAAAAACTGAAACCAAAAAAACAGTTTTTTTCAATATTTCCCCCACTCCGTAACTTTGACAGTCAGTTGTTTAGAATTGTCAAAGCTGTTCAAAATATTTATTAATTTCCCGTGTTTTATAATTAATTAGAATTCCAGTAAGTGTGTGCAGTGAAAGGTCAGTGTCCACTTCACCCCCTTACTAAATCCATCAATCGAAATAACCCCACACAAAAATTCCCTATCCACGTACATGTTTCGTTATCAGTGAAAGTGGGATTAACATTTTCCAGGTATTTCAAAATGTCATCGACGGTTCCTCTCATCCTGGAGGAAGACTGTGAGCGAGGGGGCAAAGACATGGACGAGGAAGGCATTGAGAACGACTTCGCTTACCGCAATAATGTCATGCAGGCCTCCAAAGCCATTCGTTTGGGGTTCATTCGGAAAGTTTACGGATTACTTAGCATGCAATTGCTTTTGACTATTGTGGTAGCCTCAATTTTTATGTTTACACCACAGATTAAGAGTTTCGTGCATGAAAAGTATGTTTTGTACTTGGAAATTTCGATGTTTACCCAAATTTTTGCAGTGAATGGATGATATTGATCTCATTTATTCCCAGTATTTTTTTGCTTATTGCCCTCATCGTCAAAAGACGGGACACCCCTGCTAATTTGATTCTTCTCGCAGCATTTGTACGTGGTTTAATTACTTTTATTGGGGTTTTATCTAAATTTTGCTTGGATTTTAGACAGTAGTTGAGGCCTACACTGTTGGTGTTATTTTGACTTACTACTCCCAAGCAGTGGTGCTTCAAGCACTTCTCTTGACTTTGGTCATAGTTGGAAGCTTGACTTTCTACACTTTCCAGACCAAACGTGATTTCTCAGCGATGTATTCAGGGTAAGTTAACGAACGTTTCAGTTTTTCACATTTTGTGTGTAGTTTATTCGCAGGTCTGGGTATTTTGATTGTCGGTGGATTTTTACAAATCTTTTTCCACTCAAATACATTTGAAATCGTCATCTCGTTAGGGGGTGCGTTCTTATTCTGCCTGTTTATTATTTTTGATACACAAATGATGATGAAAACCCTGTCCGCTGAAGAGTACATTTTGGCCACTATCAATCTCTATTTGGACATAATCAATTTATTTTTGTATATTTTGCGCATTTTGCAGGCGCTGAACCGGCAGTAATTACAATTGTGCTTTTTATTTCGCAGATTAAAGCAAAATTACTGTACTTTTTGCACAATTTTTTATTTTGTTTCTAAGAATAGTGAGTTATTGTTCCTGGAGGAGTGCTGTAATTACTTAATTTGCACATTTTTTAAACAAATTGTGATAATGTGTACTGAAGTGTTGAAATGAAAATCGTTCAAAATTATTTTATGTCTACACTTTCATATGTTGTGTAAAAAACTGTATAATAAATAATTAATTTTATTATTGTTCTTTAAACGTCCCTCAAAATCCACCAACATGGCCCGAGAAAAAACGACTAAATAAGTGGAAATTGGTATATAAAAAACGCATCTTACAGATTTTTTTTTATTAAAACACATTAAATAAACAGTGTCATTGCTGAAGTTTACAACTGCAATGTTCAGTTTCATGAAAGAACAACATTATTTCGAAAAAAAATGGCCAACAGCCTATAAATGTTACATTTAGACAATGAAAAAATATCATGAGAGAATTTCGTTGGTTCGATAAACTTTTAAGTAACGATTTAATTTTTTTAAGTACAAAAATACGTAATAAGATTTTCTGTGTGTGACTTGGCTAATCTCAAAATGTAAAATCTCAAAAAAATTACTTCCAGTATTCACGTAGAAAACTGAAAATTGTAAAATTAATTATTATAAAAAATGTAATTAACAGTTCTTCACATATTCTAAAAAAGTCTTAAAAATCCACTAAGAGTATTAGGAAGCAAAATTAATCACCTTTTAATGGAAGAAATCAGTGCTTAACAAAAATTAGAAAACTTACTTCTAGAAATCCGTTTAATACCATTTTCTACGTATTTAGAAGTATGTTTTGTTGTTGAAATTCTTAAATTCTCAATAATGTCTTTAATGTGGTAAACATGTTTTGTAGTTTAATTTTTGAAACTAATGATTTCATAATAAGGCACAACAGTCCGGTATTCATGTTCTGAAACTTTTTTCAACTTATTAAATATCAAACAAAACCCTTATTTAACTAAAACGACTAGTTAGAAGGAACTACGTAGTAGAAGGTTCTCGAATAGAATGCCCTGCACCCTCGGCATGAACCATCAGATCAAAATCAGGCCCTTCCAACGACCTACTCAACAACCTATCCCACTGTTCAGGAGTGGCAGGGCACTCACTCATATTATGCAAAAATTCTCTTTTTATTGTAGGTGACGAATCTGGAAAAAAACATTAAAACAAGTCCCTAAATAATTATCAACACTTACACAAATAGCCATTCTGAGCCCTGATTGTCTCCTGTTTTATGATAATTTCATTCGTAATGTACGCCTCACGTCTGATGCGGTCTTTTAGATCACCCGGTATATCAGGAATACACCATTTTATTATAATTATGATAAAAGCGACGATATTTTCGAAGACGACGACGAAAGCTAGACGCGCGGCCAAAATGTGCCAGTAGATGGCTGTTGGTTCGTACCGTTGGGGTGACCACGGGGGTTCCCGGAAATCGGGGTATCTAAACAATTTATTTTTTCTTGATGTGTAATAGCCCAGTCAAATTAGACAAAAATAGGGCGATCGGTGGAAAAAAATCCTATTATAGTAGTCTCGTTTTTCGCATGGGCTATGTTTAAGGATAAATATTAAATGTTGATTTTCATAAAGTGTCGTCTCAGTGCACTTCTGCACTCTCAAAATTCGAAATTTCGTGTTTCTAATTTTGTTTTTAAGCGTTTAAACTCTATTTTATTTAATTAAAATTTGAAAAGTGCACTTCTACACTCTCTAAGGATCATATTTTCTAAATTTAATGTTTTTATATCCCTTTAAATGTGTACACCGTTTTATTCCCTTAAAAACTAATTTTCGAAAAATCTGATTTTAGTGCCCCTTTACACCTCTAAAGAATGTTATGTTTATATCTTTGTTTAAACATTTACACCCCATTTAACCCCCTTACAGATTGATTCTCTCTTTCATCCAAAATTTATTTATATCTCCGTTTAAATGTTTACACCCGAGTCACCTTTCAGCCAGACCAGCTTAGTTGGGGAACACTCTACACATATAAATACTTACCATAAACTAATGAAATGTGTTTCAAAGGATTTTTAATGCAATTTTATGTAGACTCCAAACTTTTGAAGCCTACGGTTAGTCCTACGACAAAAATAAATAGGACCATTTTTGTAGGAAATTTTGATGCAGAAATAGACTTCTACAGAAAATTCTGCATAAATTACATAAACGTTGAGTTTGTATTTATAGACCCTCGTGACTCCCCCTTCCTTTAATAAAGTATTGGACCCAGCAAATTCAATTTACTGTCAGTTTTTTTTATTACAAGACTAATTCTGTTTTAAATGCAGATAAAGCACATTTTTTTAAATGATGTTTCTTTTCTGTCCTATGGTTAGTCCTACAACAAAAATGCAAAGGACCATTTTTGTAGGAAATTTTGTAATTTTGATAAGAAGATAAAAACCTATAGGAGTGATAATTCCCGAGATATAAGCAAAAAACCAAAAAAGACACCTTTAACCCCCTTTCCCTCCTCGAGCTCGCCCCCTACCTACGGGGACTTTTGATATATGTCTACCCAAGTATAAAGAAAGCGTTTTAAAAAAAAATACAACTCTCTAGGATTTTTTTTCCACCGATTTGTCTAATTTGACTGGGCTATAAAGTACACTCACCTGCATATCTCCTCCGCAGCGTAATTACGAGGCGCTGATTCGTTTTGAAAGTGAGAAGTGTTGAAAATTGACAAGGAGAAGTTCAGGTATCCGCTTAGACTGTGATCGTGACTCACGTACACCCTGTATATGATACGTGGGATGAATTCGGACGTAAACGCAATAATAAACCCCTGAAAATAACACGGGAAGTCCCCATTTTGAAAATGGCGCCAAAATAGTTACATTTGTCACAACTGAAAGTTTCCCAATCGAGTCCAAAATCCTGTACCAAACTCCTATATCTTTAACTCGCTGACTGACCGGTCGTCGATAAAACGTTATCAACTTCCGGGCGTCGAGACGCATCTCAAGGACGTTATTCAACAGTGCGAAAAACGGCGCTAGCGGAAAAGCCGCTACGAAGATAGTCACGAAGCCATATTGCAAAACTAAAATCACCAGAAATTAACTGCCAACTGATTTTTTCGGGGTATTACCCATTTCGAGGTATTCAGGGAAGAGGCTTCTAGGGCCCCACTCCACAAGCTTGTAGTCTTTCAGCCACTGAGGCCGCGATTTTTTATATGACGGATCTTTGGAAATCCCAGTTTTGACTTTGACGGTGTTTAGCCATTTGTAAAATAGTGGAAAGAGCATTTCCAGGACCGTATTCATGGCTTGTTTGCCGATCATGATTATGGCGAGTTGGATGCAGAGCTCCATTAAGCAGCCGCCAGGGCCGCACTGGAAGTTTTTCATTCAAATAATTGTGTATTTTTTTGAAAGAAACTACCTCTTCTTGTCGGAAGCCAAACAGCTTAGTGTATTCTTTCGGAGAGCCAGTAAACTTGCCTTTGAAAAATGCAATATAAAAAATGGAAGCGTAATAATTCACGAACTGCAGAAGATAGATTTTGAGCGTTAAGGAATCGTCGAATTCGGTCTGCGTGCGCAAAAGTTCGAATTCTGTCAAATATTCAGCCACATAGTTATAAAACTACACAAAAAAATCCGGTTTGTTTTTTTTACACCATTTTTCATAAACTTACCCAATTAAAAATTACGATACAGAATAAATTAATACAAGCAGCTGTACATGTTGTAAATAGAATAGCTTGACTGTTATCAACCTTATCAGCATAAACCCTCAAAGCGAATAAAACGGACATCCGGTACACTACTATAGCTACAACAGTAGCTAAGGCCAAAGTGACCTGAAATTTGACCAATTATGTTTGCATATTACGGTGTTGTAGAAATCTGGGTAAAAAAACTGGGTTATTTATAAAGTTTGATTGTAAACGAATGTTGCTTCATACAAAAAATTATTTATAATATTTTAATTACTCCTAATATTTCTGCAACATGCTTTTAAATACACTCACCGACATAATTGTCGCATCACTTAAATTTTTAAGATTTAATGGCTCAAGGGTTCTGTAAATGATGATATACAAAAAATAGGATAGTAGCATTATCAAGTAACTCAGTCGACTATGGACTTTTCAAAAACAATTGGTGTAAATTCATTGTTTACTGATTAAATGTCAAATTATGAAAATTACCGCTAATTTCCAAGAGACAACAATAAAAAACTGAGCTTCTTTCCAGGCTCGAGGGGGCAATGCTAGGTATTAATAGTTGCCTCCGAATGTAAGAAAAGCTTATCTAAGCTAAAAAACTGATCTGCACGAATTAATTAACGTTAAGTTAATCTAAAATTACGACTAATTAATTAATTAATCATGATTCATTTATTTTTTTAAGAATTATTTCAATAAAAAATCACTGTTCTCATGTGATGCAATAATTTTGCCGGTCAGTGTAAATTTCTGATCGAAGTGTCCTACGACTTGAAATTAAGTTGGCAACATTAGCTATCAAATCCAAACGTCACACTTTTATGGTCAGTCAGTGTTGTCAGGTGTGGTGAAAATTCACCAGATCTGGTGATTTACATATGCTAGTCTGATGATTTGGTGATTTTGTAAAAATTCTAATATTTGGTGATTTTTTGGAAATGAAAAAAACTGTTTTTCGAGCATTTTCCAAGTTTTCAACCAGAAACTTGATTATCTCATCAAGTTTTTTCAAATAAGTCGAAAAGTCACAAAGATTTCACTAGACAGGATCGAAAATGACAATTTATTTTTGTCTTTTTCGAATACTTTTTCAGCTAGAAACACAATTATATCGTAAAATTTCGTTAAAAACAATTCTAAAATTCAACAAATTCGACCAAAAAAGGCATTATTTTGCCCTTTTCAAGTGTTTAAGCACGTTTTTGAGATATAAACAAAGAAAACTTTCGTTGAAGCAGGCAAAAAATTAAAAATCAAACCGAAATTAACATTTTGAAATTTTCTCGAAGAAAAAATTATCGAAAACAAATTAGTTAAAAATAGTTCTATTTGTTTTTACAAGATATTACTAAACAGAGTAAAAAAAAAACAACTTATTTTAGTTTTTTCGAATGCTTTTTCAGCTAGAAACACAATTATTTTGCAAAATTTCGTCAAAAATAAGCCACAAATTCAACAAAATAGCCCAAAAACGGCGTTTTTTATTTTTTCGAGTGTTTAACGATGTTTTCGAGAGATAAAAACGCAAAAATTTCGAAATATTGCATTGAAACAAGCTAAAAAATTACAAAATTAATTTTGATATTTTCTGGCTTGTTTCGCCCGACTTACTTCGTCTCTGAACCAGAGGTTCATTTATTTTAGAAACTCTTGTCCAAACACGCCTAAATATCACAAACAAGATTAATAGTGATGTTTTTGTTTCATTCGATTTAACTGGTTTTAAGCAAAAATAAGCCGAGAAACCACAAAATTTGGTCGAAAATGCTTTTAATTAAGTCTAGAATTATATCGTTTTGCATTTCTCGAGCGTTTTAGCACGTTTATTAGTCAGAAACGCAAAATTTTGTTGAAAACAAGCCGAAAAATCAAAGAATCAGGCCGAAAAGCATGTTATTTTTACTTTTTTAAAAGAGTTCAAGAGTTAAACAGATATTTAAGCTGAAAACTGCCATACTCGGATCTGGTGAATTTTATGTTTTGATCTGGCAGCAAAAATCCCAAAAATTCATACAAAAAACTAAATTGAAAAAACTTCAAATCTGAAATAAAAAATCCGTTGTAAATAATACTAATAAATAACGCTACGTTTGTTCAGCCTCCAGATTCTACTGATATACCAATAATTCGGTGTTGCCAACTTAATTTCTAAGTCACAGGTCACTTTGATCGTAAATTTATTTGGAAGCTTCTACAACCCTCTGTATTTTAATTCATTACCAAGAGCATAACAACTGAGAAACTGAAGATTGTCACGGGCACCCTGAGCCGCCAGAAGGGCACATGCGGTTCCATTATATTCGTCACGATATTAACTTCCTGTCTTTTGACATGTGCAAGCCTTGCCAAGTACTGCGGCCTTGGATGCTCCTCCTGTATATCAAAACCTGTCAAATCCCACCTGTGGGTAATTTCCGCCGAATATCGTTTCCACAACTCCAGAAATAACGCCGCTGAAACACTCAATCACACCCAAAATCGAGTCAAAATCACAATTTTTACCCCAAAAAGACATGAAAATCGCAAAAAACACCGTAGTGGCGTTATCGAATAAGTAGGTAATTCTAGCATGCGTGCAAGTCTCTTTCAGGTCCCAGTAGTTGCACCAGTGGTTGCACAAAGGGCACATTTTAAAGGTGAAGTTGCCGTTGCAGATATCTTCGCTCGGTTTGTTGGAATACAGGGTGACACAGGAATAAATGAAACATGCTAAGCCGACAACAGCTGCTGGGAGGAGCATGTGGGTGTAGAAACCCAACCAGGCGAAATACAGTGCGATTTTTACGCCAAAATACTCTTTGACGTAGTCCAGGGGTTGGTAGCGGTACCATTTACTAAGGGCTGTCCATTCGTTGTAGAGGAGGTGGCGGAGGGACCCGGAGTCTCGCAAGTCGCCCTAAGAAAAATTTCGTGAAAAATTACTCGAGATAAATCTTACATCATGTAGAGGATACGCCGCGCTGTAGACACTCTCATTCAAAAGCCTCTCAATACCAAAGGCAAAATCGTCGTGATGATTATCACTGAAGCGTTTCCTGTCCAAAATAAACTGAACGATTCGTGAATGAATGGCCGGAGTGAAAAAACAAGGCGAATCAACATCGAATCTACAAAAACAACCCCCGAATTTTCCATCGGATCAAAAAACTCAAAACTGACATACAAATATTCTCTGTCACGGCTGTAAATCGCTGTAAATCGTTGATCCTTCTCGGGGAATTTCTCAGAATCGACGATAACGTAAGCCTTGAGTTTGTCCCACTGACTGGTAATGCCTTCGACTATGAAGTTGGTCCTTGAGTGCATTTGACGAAACGCTGGCATCTGTAAATGCAAAGATGCACTTCAGTTACAAATATACAGGCTGTATTATGAAAAACAGCCATAACTCCATTATTTTTAAAGTTATGACTATACTTCTTAGAACAAAGTTAAACATTTTTTGTCATCTATCGTTTGGGATAGATGCTAAATTAATGCTGTTTTCTGTTTCACCGGAAATCACATCAACTTTATTTTTTTTTAATGAAACACCCTGTATATTTTACCACTTTTGGATTCTTTGTTTAATTGCCTTTTAACAAGTTTTAGTACCATATGCCTAAAACTAACCGTTCGTGAGATATTCACCAAATAATGTATTTATTAAAGTAGGCAGTGGAAAACAATAATATCAAGTAATGTTGACAAATATTATTCCTTTGCATTTTCTCTTACTGTTTTTATACTTTTTAATGTTAATCATGGATGATAATGTGTTAACAGACATATTTTGAATAAAATAAAAATTGTGGGAGAGCATCACGCTTTTACACTGGGTGATTTCTGATGAGAGACGTTCCAAATCGTCGAAAATTTAAGCGACTTAAAGAAAATTTGATGATGTTTTGGACTTTTAGAAAACCCAAATTAAAACATCTCCAATCAAAGAGATACAGAATTAGATTGAAGAAAATGCAAGAAGATGAATTCAAGAAATTGCAAGTAACGTTGGCTTATCGCACGCAACTGTTCTAATTTGGGCTTTCTAAAAACCCCAAACATCCTCAAATTTTCTTCAGGTCGACGAATTGGAACTTCTTTTATTGGAAATCGCCCAGTGTAAAGGCGTTGTGGTCTCCAACTATTTTTATTGCTTTCAAAATATTCTTGAATCATGTCTGTTAACACATTATCACCAGAACACCAAAAAGTATAAAAATAATAAGAGAAAATGCAAAGTAATAATATTTGTCAACATTACTTAATATTATTGTTTTCCACTGCCTACTTTAATAAATTTTTAATTGACTCATATCTCACGAACGGTTGGTTTTAGGCATATGGTACTAAAACTTGTTAAAAGACAATTAAACAAAGAATCCAAAAGTGGTAAAATATACAGGGTGTTCCATTAAAAAAAATAAAGTTGATATCATTTCCGGTGAAACAGAAAACAGCATTAATTTAGCATCTATCCCAAACGATAGATGACAAAAAATGTTCAACTTTGTTTAAGAAGTATTGTCATAATTTTAAAAATAATGGAGTTATGGCTTGGGGCGTTTTTCATAATACAGCCTGTATATATTAAAACAAATTAAAAACATAAAAGACAAATTTGTTAGTGAAGCGTTGACTCTGTTAATACAAAACACAAAAATACCTGACGAATAAAGGCAGTGGCATTGTACAAACGATTGTGACGGAACTCTCGTGGCAATTTACACAACCCCTGTGACCACAAGAAAACAAAAAATAAAATATTTATGAACAAAAAAGTGGTTATAAATGATTTTCATCTAGCCAGCTGTGAATTTTCCATGTAAAATAAAAAATGCCGCTTTACGAAAATAAGGGTACCTACTTGTTTCAACTCAAAATTAAAAAATCGCCGTTTACTAAGCGTCCACTTCAAATATAAACTTGTTTTCTTCCAAAGTATACATTATTATCAATTATTATTGGAACAATAAAAGTTTAATTAACAACAATTTATTATTAATTAATAAGTGACACTAATGACAGAACTAGAGCTTTCAAAAGAGTAGAGCGGCACAAATAAAGTTACATGCAAAAAAATTCCAAAGCTAGACGGAAATAATTTATAACCACTCTGTAGAATTGAAACAATTACCTCTCGCATTGGCATCCGCAACTTCAAGATTTCGCTATACCTCCGCAGCACTTCTTTTGGTGCATGTATCTGCAATTTTTCCGTTAGAAATGAATCACAAAATGGCCAACAATTACTTTAATAAAATTCAAACCGTTGCTCTCTTGGGGCACGTACTCCAACTCCAGTCCCTCCTTCAATAGATTATTTTCGAAAAGTTTACGTTTTTGGTAAGCTTGTGGTGTTATGGCAGTTTCTGTGAAAGCGTCCCATACGAGGACAAAATCAACTGACCTCATCCCGTCGTTGAAGTAAATCGAAGGGATACGACACGATAAATTACTTTTAGGACTTTTATGACTAGATTCGTTATGATTTGGTTGAGTATCACATTCTTGCGATTCGAGTGAACTTTCGGAGAGTATAATTCTAGGTTTCTTTTTCGGTGGATTGTCGGAGAAGTCTCTGGAAATTTTATCATGTTTTTAATTTTGTTAATTGTGAGGGGATTTATGCGCCCAGGGGACTCATTTTTCTCATTTTTAGTGTCAATAAAATGTAAAAGTTGTACTACCACACCCGCATTTTGTTAAATACAGATATCGACTAAATTTCAAAATACTAACGAGTTAAGTATCAGAATCGTGTCAACTGATGGTTTTAGAAAGTTTGTTAAACCAAAAACATGACTAATAGCAAGTTTGTGATAAAATGATAATAATGAATAACAATGAGAAAAAGAAATTGGACATTTTTTATTTAAATGTACTTAAGAATAATTTATATAAAATAAAACATAAAACAATTTACCAAGACTTGTTCAAAACATAATTTTTTTAAAGATGAACTGTGCAATATTAAAATTTTTTACAATTATTTATAAATCAAATAAATTTCCAATCAAAGTGATCTGTGACTTTGAAATTAAGTTGGTAACACAAACTATTAATTTATTAATTAAACATCACACTTTTTTAAAAGTCAATTGTCAATTATTGCGTGTTGCCAACTTAATTTCAGTCACAGGTCACTTTGATCAAAAATTTCTTTGAATGCATTTAATTAAACTTCCTCTTTTAATTATTATTTACGTTGAAAACAGTCAACAAAACCGGTGCTATTGCATTTACTGTCAAGTATTAACACTGATAACAAAGGTCACAGTTCGTGTTTTAAAATAATCAGCCAATCAAATTGTTTGCTTACACAAAAGCGAAATGAAAAATGCTTTTGGATTTCGAGTTTTTCATAGAAACGGTGTACCTGCCAATACCGGCACTTAAAAATAGATAAAATAAACAATTAAAACGATAGGTGCTAATAAGCAAGTAAAAAATCGCTTACCTTTCAGTATCCATTTCGGAATCCAAATTATCAGCACTTTTATACAGATTAACAACAGACATAGCATCCATATCCAGTTTATCACATGAACTGGGTTTCCCCGTTATATTTTCCAGATGGGGGTGTCTTGGCTTCACCTCAACTTCCCCATCACAGTAACTCAAAATGTGGGGCTGACTCATAAATCTATCATTTTCCAAACTATCCCCATGTCTTACAATTGTCAGTCTCTTGTTATGAATCTTTCTCGTGGGGGACAATTCTGACAGTAGTAAGGGGGCTGACATGGACGTGGTAATTGAGTTTTTTCGAGCATTGTCTTTGGTTGTCTCTAGTGGCATCACAGTTTTAATAATCTACAAAAATAGTAAACGTTATTGTTAACACAGAACGACTGGTTCATCTTTCTTGGACTAGTGAGTCACGAGCTCAAAAACGTCACATAACAGTACTTGGTACAAATTCACAAATATGATAACATAGAACATAAATACACGCAATGTTAAATAATATACTGTTGATATATTTGAGTGATTTTTATTTTTTTACAAAACAATTTTTGCTATTTTTAAACTTGTCAACTGCATTTTTGTGAAATTTGAAACTTAGTTTACCAGATGTGCAATTCTATCACTTAATTTAAAATACACACTTCACAGATTCTCTTTTAGTTACGGTATAATACACATTTTTAAGTGTTTTTATGGAGAAGTGCAAATTCCTCCTTTTAAAATAATTAGTTCATTTGAATTGACTTGTGGTAGATCGAATTTCTTGTTCAGTAGCTCACAAACTCTAACACTGATTTTCATAAAAATAAAGGAATAAATAATTACTGTGAAACATAGTTATGATTCTTTTAGAAACATTAGATTTTTTGTTTACGGGTTTTTTGTAGATCGGCCCGCCATACCCCTAGGATCCCCTTAGTCCGATTCTGCTGCGAAAAGAGCTACTAAGAAAAATTAAAGTCCTAAATTAAAAATTTTGTGAAACATTTTGCAATTTTATAGTTTTGGACATGTAAAATATTGCCCCTCGCTTCAATTTGCTTGAGACGAAGTCAGATTTCCGCAATTTATAATCGTATTATCTTCAATAATTCGTTCTCCAGCCGGTTTTTTGGTGACATTTTTTCCGTTGGCAACGCTGTGCCTGGCGGCTGTCAAGAAACGAAACCAAAATTGTCATCTGCCCTCATGTTTATTGCTAATTGTTTAATTTTGTAGTTACAGTGAAGCAATAAAGGTGTGAATTTATGTATTTTTAACGAAAAATAACAGTTCCCTCCTCTAACTTCATGTCAAATATACCCACCTGAAAAAACCTCCAGAAGAAGTTTCTTCGTACTTAGAAAAAAAATCCATGACGATTTCATCCATTCCTACCCTAATTTGATTGTGTTGAATTATGTTTAAAGACATGGCTGATTCAGCGAGTGAGTCTGATTCGAGCAGCATTGACGGGGGCCCCATCATGATGCCTCCAAGCCCCATCACCAGGGAACAACTTCAAAAGCGGATAGAAAGTTTGCAGCAGCAAAATCGGGTGCTTAAAGTCGAACTCGAGACCTACAAGCTGAGAGTCAAGGCACTCCAGGAGGAAAATCGCGGCTTGAGACAGGCTTCTGTCATCATAGTGAGTTCAAAACCCACCAAATCTTGTCTTATACTAACGCAAAATTCCAGCAAGCCAAAGCTGAGCAAGAAGAGGAGTTTATTTCAAACACCCTCCTTAAGAAGATTCAAGCGTTGAAAAAAGAGAAGGAGTCTTTGGCGCACCACTATGAAAGGGAAGAGGAGTGTCTCACCAACGATCTATCGCGAAAACTCACGCAGCTGCGACAGGAGAAGTGCCGACTTGAACAAACTCTAGAGCAGGAACAAGAGTGCCTTGTTAACCGTCTAATGAGAAAAATTGAGAAACTTGAAGCTGAGACTCTTGCTAAACAGAGCAATTTGGAGCAGCTAAGACGCGAAAAAGTAAGATAATTATTCAAAAAATACCACATTTTGAATGATTCAGCGTTAAAAAATGGTGTTAAAAAAGAAAAAGCAGTGATTTAAACAACAAACACAAATCTGCAGTAAAACTACTCCATTAAATTATCTTCTTTAGATTTTGATTTATTTCCTAAATTTTTTATTTGACAATCGCTTCAAACCCATTGGAATATTATCTCATTATCTTTATTTCTTCACAAGATTTAACATTGTTTTTGAAATTATTATTACTAAAACTCATCATATTTTGAGAAACATTAGTCCCTGAAAAAATTACAGATAGTGCTCCTAATTTGATTTTTCTGAGTTTTCAAACGTTATTTACTGCTTTCAGTTTGAGATTTATAAAATTTACATAACATTGTTATCGTTCTTGAGGTTTTCATAATGATTTAAGGATAATAAACTTAATATCTTATAAAACATTGTTGAGCCTTGACTTCGACTGTTTTTTTTTTTCTTGAATTTTTTAATTTTGCGTTTTAAATTCTTATTTTTTTAATTTTGAACGTTATTATTTTATGTTTATTTAATTTTTGTTTCTTTTTAAGAACGTAATTTTTGTTAATCTTCAGTTTTCTGGAAGCGATCTGCGAAAAAATGTGAAAACTTTTGTGTACAAAAGAGAACCTCTTCTTAAAAGAAAAACAAAAAATTATATTAAAAAAAAAATATTTTTTTGGCTAGTGTTTAATAGATTTGAAAAAAAAATGTTGTAAAACGACTCCATAAAATTGTTTTTTTTAGATTCTGATTTCATAAATTTTTATTTAACAAACGCTTTTAAATTACACACTTTGAACATATTAGAATATTATCACATAATCTTTACTTCTTTCTTCACAAGATTTAACATTAGGTTTACTGTCTCTCAAAATTTCTTTTGCGTCTTAAGATTTTTTAATTTACCAACACTGTTTTTTCGGGTCAGTCCTTTATTTTCAAATGCTTTTGATTTTTCATTGCATCTTTGTATCTTGAAATTTTTAAATTGTTATTTTTTTTAAGATCTTTATTTAGTATTACATAGTAGATTAGTTTTTGAGTTATTTCTAAAACTCATCATATTTTGAGAAACATTAGTGCCTGAAAAAAATACTTGAACTACTGATTTTAGGTCAAAATTTTTATAACTTTTTATAATATCGTTCTTAAATTTTTCTTAATGATTTGAGGATAATAAACGTAATATCTTAAAAAAAAACATTGTTGAGACTTGATCTCGGTTGTGTTTTTTGAATTCTATTTCTTTTTTTTATTTTGAACTTCATTACATGTTTTATGTTTATTTAATTTTTATTTCTTTTTAATTTGACTTTTTTTAAATCTTCAGTTTTTGAGAAGCAATCTGAAAATTGAGAAACATGAAAATATTTAAAAATCAAAAAAATTGGGTAAATTTTGTGTAAATTTCACATAATTTTGTTTGTATGAAACAAAAAAAATTGTAGTAATAATAAAAGAAATTTATTTTGTTTTTGGACTTCATACAGGGTGCGCCAGAACTCGTGCCCCAGAAAAAAGTAAGTAACCAGGAACATGGAAAAAATGTTGAAAAAAATTTCGAAGTTATGAGAGTTTAAATTTTGCACTTTGACTCTACTTATTTCTGTTGGAAAAATAATTTTCCAAGGTTTTTTTACTACAGGCTATTATAAGAGGAAATAAGGAAGCTTTATCCCAAATTGTAACTCTGTTCAATGATATTTATGGCTTTTATTGGTACCTTTACTAAATAATTGAAAAAATCATATACAAGATCATCAGTGTCATTAAATAGATATAAAAAAATGTCAAATGTCAAAAAATAAATGGTATCGTGTCTTACTTGAAATTTTTCTCTGGGGCACGAGTTTTGGCGCACTCTGTATGTATAAGATCTATCATAAGGCTGTTTTGCAAATTTTGAGATACTCTGTATAATGAATTAATGAACAAAAATATTCTCAATATTGTGGTAAATTTGCAACCATCGAAAAATAACACTAATAAAAAGAAATAAAAAATAACAATATCCCGTGACGTAAAAGGTCAACCAAAGTAATTTTTCAAGTTTTCAATGGCTCACAAAGCCTGTAACATTTTATGAAAATAACTCAAGTAGTTTTGGAAGAACTAATGAATGTTAATTTTTATTATTTTATTTAACAAATTGGTGTGGTTGCAATTTTTCGTAATATTAAAAAAAAATAAGAAAACATTTCCATTTCTGAAGTGTAATTTATTGCATGTTTTGTAAATTACTATGAAACATTCTTAACAGAAATTATTTTATCTAGAACATGGAAAACACTGTCATTTTAATATTTAGGTCGAGCTCGAGAACACCCTCGAGCAGGAACAAGAAGCTCTCGTTAACAAACTCTGGAAACGCATGGACAAGCTCGAAGCCGAGAAGCGAATGCTCCAGATAAAACTGGACCAACCAGTCTCAGATCCGGCGAGTCCTCGTGACATCAACAACGGCGACACAGCCACCAATCTCAGTGCCCACATCCAGACCCTCCGGTCGGAAGTGGCGCGATTGCGGCAAACTCTGGCGATCAGCCAGCAAGAGCACACCCAGAAGATGCAGAGATACGCGCAAGAGGAGCGCAACATCAAGGAGGAGAACCTGAGATTGCAGAGGAAGCTGCAACTGGAGGTGGAGCGACGCGAAGCTCTCTGTCGCCATCTCTCGGAGAGCGAGAGCTCGCTGGAGATGGAGGAGGAGAGGCATTACAACGAGCAAGTGCTGGGGGCCAGGCAGCACACGGTGTCGCCGGTTCCGTACAATCCGTCGCCTAGCCAGAGTCGCCCCCTGAGTCCAGGTGGGGGAAACGAATTACACAAGGCGACAAAAAAAAAGTCATGTCGTGACAACTTGACAAATTTTACATCATTTTGTTCGTCTCAGTGAGACAAATCAAATGCACTAACAAAAAAATTTAAAAAGTCCACACACTTTGAACAAAATAATTTTTTTCTAATTTAAATGAATTTAAAATACTTTAACTTTAAAAAATCATTACTCAATAACTATTAGGCCGATTTCCTTCAAATAAAGACCATTCTAAAGGGATGGCCTTGCCCTTTAGAATGATATAAAATTTGAAATTGAATATTGGCAAACTTTTCTTCGATCAGTGTTCGAAGAAGTTCGAAGTAAATCGAAGTAATCTAAGAAAAACCCTACGAGTATTTTTTTTTCTTTGTCACCATCGTGTAGAACATCTTTTTATTAGTAAGAATCCAAATTTTCAAAAAAATATACCGAGTAGTTTTCAAGATATGATTTTTTGAAGTTATGGTTTGTTAATCAAGCATTGCTCCATATAGAAGAAATGCATGTTAATCTTACTTAAAATTGCATTTTTATAAAAGTATTTGTTTTAAGACTCTTCTTTTGCTTAAAAATGGTCAATTCCACCTTCTTTGTTCTAATTAGAATAAACAAAAACTGTTTGTTTACTTAAAACAAATAAAGAGTACCTGCGTACTAATTAAAGCAAATAAAGAGTTTTTTTGTTGTAAAAATGACCACTGATCATTGAACAAAGAGGATCTAGAAGTTTAAGGCACGAGTCTTAAATATAAGAGCAAATCTTTTTCAAATCAAATCACTTTCCATTCAGATTTTGACTTGTTCACTTTGTTCTAGCTTTCTGAACTTTTTTAAAAAATGTTCTGAGCAAATGCTTTCTCATCACTTTCGAGTGATGTTAAATGCAATAAGTCACCTGATTTATTTTGTTGGTACATTCTACGATTAGCTTCAGTTAGCTTGTAGGTAGTAGTTGTTGTGATAACAATTGCACACGAAGCAAGTGACTTATTGCATTCAACATCAGTAGAAAGTGATGAAAAAGCTTTGCTGAAAACATTTTCATAAAAAAAGTTCAGAAAGCTAGAACAAAGTGAACAAATTGGAATCTGAATGAAAAGTGATTTAATTTGAAAAAGATTTGTTCTTATATTTAAAGCTACTGCTTTAAACATCTAGATCCTTTTTGCTCAATGATCAGTGATCGTTTTTAGAAAAAAAAAACTCTTTATTTGCTTTAATTAGTACGCAGGTACTCTTTATTTGTTTTGTTTATTGTAATTAGAACAAAGAAGATGCAATTGACCATTTTTAAGCAAAAGAAGAGCCTTAAAACAAATACTTTTATAAAAATGCAATTTTAAGTAAGATTAACATGCARTTCTCCMATATGGCGCAATACCTGAATAGCAAACTTTAACTTCAAAAAATCATATCTTGAAAACTACTCGGTATATTATTTTAAAAATTTGGATTCTCACTAATAAAAAGATGCTTTACACGATGATGACGAAGAAAAAAAATTTACTCGTAGGGTTTTTCTTAGATTACTTCYATTTACTTCGAACTTCTTCGAACACTGTTCGAAAAAATGTTTGCCAATATTCAAATTCAAATTGCATATCATTCTAAACGGCAAGGCCATCCCTTTAGAATGGTCTTTATTTGAAGGAAATCGGCCTAATAGTTATTGAGTAATGATTTTTTAAAGTTAAAGTATTTTAAATTCATTTAAATTAGAAAAAAAAATATTTTGTTCAAAGTGTGTGGACTTTTTGAAATTTTTTTAGTGCATTTGATTTGTCTTACTGAGACGAACAAAATGATATAAAATTTGTCAAGTTGTCGCGACATGACTTTTTTTTTGTCGCATTGTGTTATTTATGAAATTTTTGGGTGAATTTTGATTTTGTAGGTTTGTCGTCGATGCAAGCGCCGTCTCCTCGCGACTCTCTCATCGTGGGCCCCCCACGCTGTCCGACTTGCGGTCAATTACTAACTTCTGCTTTGCACAATGTGGGGTCCAGCAGCCCCCCGGCTCCGGCCCACCGAAGGACCAGTGAAAGATTCATCAAGCCGGCGATTCCAGCACCACAGCCCGCTAGTCCCATGGATACTTCAATCACTAAAGAATAAGAAAGAAAAAGGTGTTGCGAATTGGCAAATAATCAGTAATCATGTTTATGGGCTTTCGTTTTGCAGGTGGTGAACATTTGTTGGTTTCTCTGCATGTTATTTGTATAAGGGCTTAAAGTTCGAAACAAATAAATTTAATAAAACTACATGGTGTTACTGTGAAGCTAATGGATTAATTTTTTCTTGTTTAGATATTGTATTACTTGGGTTTTTCGATCAGGCAGCTGTTTTGTATAATTTCGGGATCTGCTTTGCTTTTAATATGTGTACTTAATGATGTTATATGATAAAGGGAGCTTTATTGTGGTCAGCTCTATTAAAATATCTCCATATTGAATGTTTACCGAGTCTAGTAATGGCAGTTGTCACAGGATCGATGCCATGTTGAAACATTGCCAACAATTTTTCACAATGTTTGTGATATGAGTTTTTGTTATTTAAAGAGTGACACGATTTGTTTATTAACGGTTTTGTTTACTTTGTAGGTACACCGCACTCTGCCAAACTTATTTCCTTAGTAATTATTATTTTTATCATGCAATAATAAAGCTAGCTTACGTTTTGTATTTGTAACACCATTTCAATTAAGACTAATTGAAATGTTGAAGTTTATTTATCTGATTTGTTACATTCATAACACTAGAAATTACGGATTAAAGACTATTTAGTTTAGATTTAGGTGTTTTTTAGATTAACTTCTCAAAAATTGACACTACAGGTGGCAATTCAAAAAAATTGTGAAAAGTGATATTAGGATATAAACTCATTATTTTCATTGGTGGAATTACATTGTCATATTGATTTGTGCCACAACCAAACGCTAAAATTCAAACAAAATTCTTCCCTTACTAAATTAAAAGCCAATGAAAAATTTCAGTGACTATTTCAGGGTCATATGTAGTCTAGGATAACTTTTGTTACTGTAAGTTGAGATATTTGTTATGTTTTTAGTAAACTGATGTATTTTCCTGATAATGTTGTTTTTATCTTGTTTTCTGTAAAAATGCTATTCTATTTAGTAAACGCTGTGAATTACAAAAAGATTACATTGGCCTATTGTATCAATAATCCCAGAAACAGATGATTCTGAATTAACAACTGGCTTACGAATTTCCTGTAATCTTTACGCTACGAATTATTTTATATTTTAATAATTTGTATAATAAGGTTGAATGATATGTAATGGTTTTTAAATAATAATAAACAATTAAAAGGAACTGTTTTTAAATTTAGTGCCAATTGCTGCAGGTGGCGCTATTTTTCTATTGACATTATTATCACTAACTACATTACCGACCCTTCTCTTTTCATCCGGGTGAAGTGTCAAGATGGTGAGTCTTTACCGATTTTTTACAAATCGGCAATCATCCGTCTTATTTATCATTAAATTCACCTTAAATTGCTTTAAATCAACAACTGGAACTTACTTTCTCACATTTAATTTAATATTTTTTCATATTGGTACCGTACAAGCTACACAATTGTCAAAAAGAATATCATGTCAACATCTTAAAAACACCTTTATTTTGTTTAAAATAAGAAATTTTCTTTAGGTAAAAGTGTTTTGTTTTAATTTTGTGCAAGTTCTATTTGTCTTAGTTGAAAAAGTTTGTGTTATAGTTTTATAACATTGTTGGTGTTATGCTCTAACCTCAATTTTTTTCTAGGCGCGAGGTCCCAAAAAGCATTTGAAGCGTCTCAATGCTCCCAAAGCATGGATGTTGGATAAACTGGGGGGTGTGTTTGCCCCTCGGCCTTCCACCGGCCCCCACAAACTACGAGAGTCGTTACCTTTGGTTATTTTCCTGCGAAACAGGCTAAAATATGCATTGACTAACTCAGAAGTGACCAAAATTGTCATGCAGAGATTGATTAAAGTTGACGGAAAAGTCAGAACAGACCCCAACTACCCCGCGGGTTTCATGGGTAAGTTAGTTTTTTGAGCAAACTTTGGAACTGTAACGCTGATTATTTAGATGTTGTTACTATTGAGAAAACTGGGGAATTCTTCCGTTTGATTTATGACGTCAAAGGAAGATTCACAATCCATCGCATTACAGGAGAGGAGGCCAAAGTGAGTGAAAGAATTTTTAAATTATTTTAATGGGAAGTTGATGAAACTTGTAAAAAGGCACAATTGGGTTGAGCTTTGCAGCTCCCCTAAATGTGATTTCCAATGAACATAATCTTACTCATCTGATTCTTTTGACTAAACTTAAGTAACTCTATTGTTGATTTTTTTGATTGTGTGTGTTTTTTTTAGTATAAGTTGTGCAAAGTAAAGAAAGTACAGACAGGCCCCAAGGGCATTCCCTTCTTGGTGACCCGCGACGGACGCACTATCAGATACCCAGACCCCATGATTAAAGTTAATGACACCATCCAATTGGAAATCGCCACTTCGAAAATCCTTGATTTTATCAAATTTGAATCTGGTAATTTGTGTATGATTACTGGAGGTCGTAACTTGGGGCGTGTCGGCACAGTGGTGAGCCGCGAACGTCACCCAGGTTCCTTTGATATCGTTCATATTAAGGACGCAAATGGACACACGTTTGCAACTAGGTATGTTTTTTTACATTATTGAAGGCCCTATCGAAGCTATGTTTTGTTTTTCTGGCAAAATGTGGTCAAAGTGTGGCCGAAATTAATTTTCTGTTATTGGTCACTGATTAGCCTTGTCATGGTTATTACAGTATTACCCAAACAGGAGACACTTTTTTTTATTATGTGAAAGATTTTGTTGTGATTTGTGACATTTGTTTTCAGGCTTAATAATGTATTTATCATTGGAAAGGGTAGCAAACCTTATGTATCCCTTCCAAGAGGTAAGGGAGTCAAATTGTCCATCGCTGAAGAAAGAGACAAGAGGTTGGCCGCCAAGACCCAATAATGTTGTAAGATTTACAATATTTTCAATAAAAATTTAAAACCCTAAAGTGAGTTTTCCTTCACATTATGAAAATTCGGAGCGAAGCTCCGTACTTTCATACAATTTTTTGTATAAAGGATGTAGAAATGGTTTTTTGGAAATTCTAGAGTAAAGACCGAAAGACTATTTTGTCATACAGAATTTTTTTTTCGTTACATTGTAGGTTTTTTTTTTAACTTTTTGAGGTTAAAACCAATGGCCGTAATAAACTTTATTTTTTAAATCACTTTTCCTACGACTAACAAAGTAAAGTTTTCCACCCCAATTTCAGAAAGAAAAGTGGTCAATTACCTCCCCCATAGAAGTGGAAATATCAAGAAAAATTGTTAGTTCTGAAGTTTTTCTTGCTGAGTCGTAGGAAAAATTATATGTATTACAGTCTCGGGCTGCAACTTCGACCTGTGGGAGGAAAAGATACATTTTCTTCCCTTGTAATACAAATAAAATAAACACATTTGTTGTATCAATATTTTTATTACACAATAAGAAAGAAAAAGTCAAAAAATAAGAAATTTATTTTTTAACCGCGGCGGCAGCCTCATCCTCCCTCTGGTAATTCTGCAACACCTCTTGTTTCTTGGCGGCGATTCTTTCTTCACGCCGTTTCCTGGCCTCTTTCACCTTCAACCTCCTGGCATCGGCTTGATCATTCAACATCTTGGCACGCGCCTTCTCGGCCTTCTTCTTGTGGATGTACTCCATAAGGACCCTCTTGTTCTTGAAGACGTTGCCCTTGGCCTTCATATACAGCGAGTGGTAAAGATGCCTGTCGATTTTCTTAGCCTCACGATACTTCTTGAGGAGTCTCCTCAAGACCCGCATCCTCTGTATCCACAGCTCCTTCTGGGGCATACGCGCATTGGCCGTACCTTTCCTCTTACCGAAGCCGCAGTGGCGTCCCTTCCTGCGGGCCTCCGTATTCTTGCGGACTCGGGCTCTGGAGTGCACCGCCACCGGTTTCTTGATGATGAGGCCGTCTTTGATCAATTTACGGATGTTCTGGCGAGAATTTGTGTTGGCGATCTCGTTGATTTCGTTCGGGTCTAACCACACTTTTTTGCGACCGCATCGCATCACGGAAGCGGCAAGCCGCTTCTGAAGCTTCAGGGAACTCATTTTTCACCTTTGAGACACTTAAACTGCTCAAAAATTCGCCCAAATTGCGAAATTTGGGCTAAATCGATCAATCCACAACGTGCGTGGATTTGACAGAACACAGAAAGGAAGTACCAATCGAACAGGAAGAAAGTCCTGGGGGAAACACCACTGCCAACTGACGGTTTTGTTGGAAAGGCGAATTTTTACTTGTGATAAGGGTCAATTCGTTATCAATGTGTTTACAACTGTGCAAATGAATTTACGACAAGGGTTGTTTCGGGTGAAATTCGATTTAGGTATGATGTTTTATGTTTTGACTTAAGCCATGTTGACTTAAGTTATTCAACACCCCCTGGCGAGTAGGGGGAAAGTTCCTAATTTACTTAACTTAAAATTAAATACCTCCTTGTTTTTGTTTTTGTATGTCGACATTGGGATGTGTAATGTGGTAGTTTTTATTTTTTTCACACCATGGAGGTCTGGAATTGCTCCGAAAAAGTGCAAAATCAAAATGAAAATACTTTCGCGTTGAATAACGATTTTATCGACGATACTTTCGACTTTAGTTTTAATAATGTGTACGAAAAAGCGACCGACAATCTTACGAAATATGACGACAAAGAGAAAAATTCGACAAGTCTTGTTAAATTACAAGAAAACGATGAAAATGCCGGGTAAGCCTGAAAAACCTTGCAATGACCAAATTTAGTAATCCATGGTTTTGGAATCAGCTGTTTTACTTAGACACAAGTTTTGTAACCAAACAATTAAGATAACCCCCGTTTTGAAGGCTTTCTAATATTTTTTTAATTAATTACAATATCCAACGGCTCTAATAATTAAAAAAAATAGTGGATTGTGTTAAATTTTGACGTTTGAGGCTGGATTCACATGTTGCAGTATTCCCTTATGGTAGGTCACGTGACAATTATCCAATCAAGAAACAGCATTTTCCGTAGAATTATCCCTTGTGAACGCAGCCTCAAAAGTCGAAAATTTGACAGACAAGTTTGAGGTTATTTCATTTATTTTTAATTGAACTTAAAAATATCGCAACAATGAGTGTAACCAACGTGACATAGTACAAACACTTAACAAATGATGCATTTTTAGTTACATCCAACAAACGGTTTCTTTGGACGAAATTTACATGCACATCCATCCGGGGGCTTCCAAGAAAATGCCAGAAAAACCATCCCATGCCACCTTGACAATAACAAGTACAGACCCCACAACCAAAGAAACTACCACAAACCGTTACAATTGCGAATACGTCGGTTGTACTCGAACTTACAGTACTGTTGGTAACCTGCGAACACATATGAAAACCCACAAAGGTAACATAAAACGTGTAAATTCACCAACTAAAGCGAAATTTTAGGTGAATACAGGTTTAAATGTACAGAGCCTAACTGTGGCAAAGCCTTCTTGACCTCATACAGTTTAAAAATACATATCAGAGTTCACACCAAAGTGAAGCCTTTTGAATGTAAAAGCCCCGGTTGTGATAAAGCGTTTAATACTTTGTACCGGTTAAGGGCCCATGAGCGGTTACATAACGGCAAAACGTTCAATTGTGAGTCGGAAGGCTGTATGAAGTTTTTCACCACACTGTGTGACTTAAAGAAACACATTCGAACTCACACTCGTGAAAAACCCTACAAGTGAGTGATTTTAACGTAAAAATGTAGTAAAAAAACGTTTTTTGTAGATGTAAGGTGGGTGGGTGTGGGAAAGCGTTCACCGCAAGCCACCACTTGAAGACCCATCAGAGGATCCACAGTGGGGAAAAGCCCTACACTTGCAAGGAGTCAAGTTGCAGTCGGGCTTTTGCCACTCTTCATAGCCTCAAATCGCACATAAAGATTCATCAGAGGTCAGAGGTGGTCAAGGAGGAGAAGGATGGTGACCATGAAAGGAGAAATAGTGATATTAACGTGCCTTTTGATTTTGAGGGGAACTACACGATTGGGAGTTTCGGAAGTGCCTTAGACACCTGGGATGACTTGGAGAAAGCTGAGACTAAGAAAAGTGGTGAGTGAGAGGTTTGGTTTGGTATTTTTAATCTCACCTTGGTTTATTAATAGCCCCAATTATGAGGCACGCCGGTTGACATTCCCGAACATTTTTACAAATACATTTTTCATATTTTTGCTTTAGTTTCAATGACTTGTTTTTTATTTTTAATTATAAAATAAAGTCGGGAAAAATTATTTGTATGCTTTTTATTATTTGCCTAACAATTGGGCTTTGGTTGCATCGCCTCCTCGTAGAAATTGTAATAATGCCAAGAAATTAACCGCTTCATTTTCTTAATGCGTTATTTATGTTCACTTTTTCCTATCTAATGAGATCTTGGAAACTTGGAAAGGTTTTATGTTGTTACTTAGTTGCGGTACAAATGGGCTATTTTTGTGCTTGTATTTTAAGAATTTGTTTTAAAATAGAAAATTGTTTTATTACTTTTACAAAAAAAAATCGTTGCACGTTTTGTGGAAATGGTTCAAACAGCTTCGCAATTCTTTTTGGACAAAGAAACTGAACATTTGTTTAGGCTTAGATTTGAGATTGAATAAAAAAAAATAATAATTAACTTAAGGAGAACATACTTTTTTAATCTATTTTTGTGACAGCTTTTTATAACAGTGACTTTTTGATTGTCATTCTGGTAGCTAAATGACACACTTTTAGTAACTAGTGTTTAAAAATAAAAAATACTTCAACACAATTTTTATTATTTATGGTAATTAACAACATTAGCAACACAATTCTATAAAGGAACCCTGGAATTAAGGCTTACACATTTATTTATTTCAATTATAAATTTATATATTAGGAACAGTTCTTTTTTAGAACAAAGTAATCTAGTTACTAATTTATAAAATTTTATTTGAATTTTTAACAAAATTGCTTTTTTCCCGATTTAAAATATTGGTAGTATGCATCTTATCTTTTGCAAATATGTCAATTTATTTTGTCACATACATTTCACTAATATTAGAAATTTAATTTAACAATAGCATATCGATCAGAAGGTGCGAAACTAAATTGAAAAAAATTCTTGGTATTAGCATTGTTGTCAATTTTCAAATAATTAATTTTGCTTTGTTTCTTTTAATTTCGATGACTAAAAACAGAAAGATAAATAGATGGTGACGCCACATTGATAGTTATAATAAAATGAATCCGAACAAACAAAACATATATTACATAATTTATCAAAAATTATTATTCCTTTTATTTGAAATTTTTGCAATTTTTAGTTTTTTTTACAGAAAATTGAATTTCTAAGAAATACAGTAAACAAATTGTTTTTTTTACAATTGGATGTTGTTCCTGAATTAAAAAAGTACCTCACGCACACAGTAACACTGTGTTTTCATCTCATTTTGAGTATTTGTAACGTATTGCAATATTTAATAGTTTTTATTTTTTTTATGAAAAAACGCATTATTTAAATTGCATGAAAAAATACAGTAACATAAGTAAGTAATCTACAATACCCCAAAAATAAATCAAAAAATTCTTCCGTACAGTTTTGTTATAAAAAAATAAAATGGCCAAAAATATAGGATTTTTTTAATTTATTTTTAAACGGCATGGACAAAAAAATTAAAATTAATATATATTGCTGCTAAGGCCATCAAAAAGTTATGATGATTTTTTCAGAATTTTTAAATAACTCTTTATTTTTTTATTCAGTATAGTTCAACCTTAAACTGAACATTTGATGTCTGGAAATAGGCCAAAACTACCTTTTCCTCAAAATTTTCTACATTTTTCTTCACACGCTAACTATCAAATTTTTTGTAGGTTTCTCTGAATTAGTGAAAAACATTTAGAAAAAAATGAATTAGTTTGAAAACTTGACGCACATTTTGCCTATGTTTGCAGATGTTCCATGTGTCAACACAAAACAAGTACCTGAACCTAACAATCAGACCAAATCCAACCTAGAACCGGTGAATTTCGACAACCTATTTAAAAACTCGTACAACCTAATCAACAACAATTACGTTAGTCAAAACTCCAATGCCAGTCTCCCATCTCTAACTTTAGACAACAAAGCCAAATACGCCGCTGTGATCGAAACCGATCTAAGTTCTCAATTTGAAATGGCTAACGGTTTGAAAAATTACGCAACGGTCAACACTGCTGAGCCAATTCCCACTCAGCTTCCTTACAACATCGGGACAGAAAATGTAGAAAACGGTAAAGCCGGGGAAACCCTAAACGACACGCAAATGGAGCTCGAAGACAGTTCCATAATAACAGAAATCGAGGACGCCGGGATAAATTTTGACGTCGATATGTTCGACAATGTTTTCAACGATGACAAAAACAAAAAAATCAACGTAATAAGCGTGAAGAAAATCGTGCCCGAAAACGATCTAGTGAACTTGGACAAGCAGATTTACACTCCGGAAGCCCTCCAGATGTCGCTGGCGTGCGACGAAGAAGTGCCTTCGATGTGGGTCGATGTTATGAATTACTACAATTCGGGCCAAGCCAATGTCTTTGAACAAAACACAATCGATGACAGTCAAATCATTGCTGTACCAACCGCCGTCCAATCGTACGTCAATCTTCCCCCACTCCAAACAACTGACAATCAACTCGACAGCACCTACAACCAATTGAATAACTTCCTGATGCAGAATTTGGAACAAACGACTAACACCGATGCCAACTTGTTGAAGAATTTGACAGCCGAGGCTGATATCTGCAAATGTGTGGATTGTAAATGCGACTCGGTGAATAACTGTCAAAATTGCGAAGGTCACGATCGGGTTGAGGCGCCCCAAACTAAAGTCAGTTGTTGCAGCAAGCCGGTGAAAAATCTAGGATGTGGAGGGGATAAAAATGATTGTTGTGTCGTCGTTTGTTTGAAAACTTTGGATCAGTTGAGGCAGATTTTGAATATGGCGAGTACTTGTGGAGGATTTCAGAATTTAACGTTGGGGTGTATCAAAGGGGGGGAGTTTTGCGCCGTACAAAAGTAGATTGCTTAAGCCGAATTAATGCAGCATTGTGATTGGATAGAGCCAAAGTTTAGATGTACTAATTTTCGTGTGATGTGCCAAAAATAGTGTAGTGCAATAATATTATGTTGTGATATTTACAACTTTTTAACAAATTAGATAACTTTTTTAAGCGTAGTTGTAGTTGAGGTACAGCTCGGGGCAAACGTAATGGTACGTCGTTGCTTTTGCCGCACGCTGTACCAAGTATTCGTCAACTTCTTCGATAATTGTACTAATGAGAGAGCAGCCGTGAAGATTACATTCTAGTCATTTTATTTTAATTTTCCTGTTTCTTATTGTGTCCTACAAGGCTTACGGATGATAAAAGTTAAATGCATATTCTTAATAAAATATTGTTTGACATTTTTTGTGTTTTATTTTTGGTCAAGTGAGAAAGTTAAATTACTTACCTTAATATCTATTATATAAAGTATTGGCTGCCTGTACGGTCACATTCTGCGGTCGCATGAAGTATGCATGAGGCCGCTAAAACAATGAAGTCATGGTGTGGGGTTTTTCAAATAGAACACAAGAATAAGAGAGGATTTCAATCAAACGAGATGAACTCATGACTTTATGCAAGAGGTGGGCAAAGCGTCGCAATTCTACTACTCCTTATTGACTTTGGTTATATCCTGCCTGCTTCTTCCTATCTGCCTACATTAAGAATCTCTGCTAGAAATGAACGCGGTATTCGTGTTTGAGATAAAAACACTTGTGAGACATCGAAAACTTTGAATTTTAGGCGTGGAGATGCGAATGCTGATGGATTGGAGTGGCATGAAGGTATTAAGGATTCTTTTTTAAATAAAATTGTATGATTTCATATCAATAAATTAAAAAATGTATTGAATAAAAATGAATGAATTTATTTGCTTTCTATTTAAAATAACGAAGTTGATACTCACTTCCGGTAAGTTTTATTTTATTCTAGTTTATCATTGTGCTATGTGCGTGGTAGTTTAACATCCACAACTATTTCGAAACGCAGAAGGGTTAAGAAACTTACTAACAAAAAGTAGTAACACATAATTTATTTTGAACGTAAAAAGTCTGTCTTTTATAAAATTTTGATACAAAATTTCCTTCCCTGTTTAACCCCCTTGGAAATGGAATTTTCTAAAATCCTGAAACACGTGTTTTTTGGTTTTTAACTGAAAGTCTAAACACCAATGTTCATAGAATTAACTTTAAAAAAAATACGAATATTTTACGAAATTTTACCATTGTTCAACCCCGTTGGGGGTGGAATTTCCAAAAATTCTGAAACACCTGTTTTTTCATTTTTAACCGAAAGTCAAAATCCCAATTTTTCATAAATATATTTTCAAAAATAACGAATTTATAAATATTTATACAAATTTTCACCTCTGTGACCCCTTTGGGGATGAAATTTTCCAAAATCTTGAAACACGTGTTTTTTTGTTTTTAACTGAAAGCCCAAATACCAATTTTCATGGATTTAACTTTAAAAAAAAATCGGATATTTTACTATCATTTACTCTTGTTCAACGCCTTTGGGGGTAGAATTTCGAAAAATCGTAAAATACGTATATATTTTTTTTAAAGCCTAAAGGTCAATTTTTATGGTTATCTATAACTTTAAACCTTCAAATTCACCTCTCTATTTAACCCACTTAGGGGTTGACTTTCCAAAAATCCTTTCTAAGTGGATGCCTACATTATAAAAGGTATCTACTGTGAAAATTTCAAAATTTTGATATGTCAGTCAGGATAAGTCTTTTTATACAGGTGTTCAAAAAATCGCGCACTTCCTTGAAAGGGAGTAATTGGGTAGTCTCCCAGAGTACTGAAAAAATGTTAAAAAAATTCTATCTATTAAAAAATTTTGACATTTATTTTTTGACATTTGAAATTTTTTTAAGTCTATTTAATGATACTGATGATCTTGTATATATTTTTTTATAATTATTTACTAAAGGTACAAAAATTTTGTCAATAAAATTACAATTTAGGATCCATTTCTTTGTTTCTCTTTTTTAATAGCCTGTAGCAAAAACACTTGGAAGATTATTTTTCCAACAGAAATAAATAGTCATAGCGCAAAATTTAAACTCTCATAACTTCGGAATTTTTAGAGATAGATTTTTTAAACATTTTTCTTGTTGTCTAGGGCACCGCCCGATGACTCAGTGTCACGGAAGTGCGCGATTTTTTAAACACTCTGTATATGTAGATTAATCTTAGGAATAAAATAAAATAAAGCTAGACTGTGTTTAGACATACTTCTCTAACAGGTTTTTCTAAGAAAAAATGTGATTGTGGAAAAATTTATAGATTCATAGAAAAGTTAAGGCATTTTGATATTTCTTATCAATGATTATATTTCAAGTACTTAATTTATTATTTTTGTTGTATATTTGGTTCAAGTACACACAACGCGCTGTTTCCATTATTAATTAAAATGTCATTAGCCCATCAATATTTAGAGCTGATAAATGTATGTAACGCGTGTTTTTTTAAACTTGGAGTAATGAATATTTCAATGCAGTAAAGGCAAAACAAATAAACATTAATAAAAACAACCATATCGACATTTTTTAAATAAGACAATACATAGAATTTTTTCGACTCAGCGGAAATTGTTACTTCACAATTGAATTAATTTTATCATCGTCTATAAAATTATATTTTATTTGTATATCAGAATTTACAAGAAAACTAAAAAATATCACTTGAAAATTAGATTATTATTTTGCTCACTTCCAAATCGTAGTAGTATCTATGGTAAAATGCAAAGAAAATCAATAGTCTTAATGTTGTATTACTTTATCTACCTTTGTTGTTAAAATGTGTTACTTGTTCTATTATTTTAAATGGAAAATAAATTATTACTATTTTATTTATGTATATTTTGAATTTATGTCATTTTACATAATCACACAATTTTGCATTAATTCCAATGTCATCATGACTTGAAATAATAATAATCAAAACCAAAGATAACACAGAAGAGTGTTCAATGCGAACAGATCTCAATCAGTAAGTGTTCAATAACACCACAGTTAACATGTTACTCCTCACTGCAATCGAGCTAAGCTCAGTTTTCATAATTTCCCTACTTTTCGCCTATTATCTCTACTACCGCTACTGTTTCAACTACTGGAAAAAACGAGGCGTGCCTCAACTCAACCCGACGTTTCCCGTTGGCGACTTATCCACCGCTGCGTGGGGCAAAGAAAGTGTGTATTTGCGTCTCCAGACTCTTTACCACAAATTCAAGGATGCGGGGCATAAATTCGGGGGTATTTACTTCCTCAATGGCCCCATTTACTTCCCTGTGCATCCTGATTCGGTCAAAAGGCTACTAGTGACCGACTTTGACCATTTTGTGGACCGGGGAACGTACATAGACGAGGAAAAGTTGCCCTTAACTGCGCACATTTTTTCAATGAAAGGCGAACAGTGGAGGAATGTTCGAACGAAGTTTTCCCCGGTTTTCACTTCCGGGAAAATGAAGAGTATGTATAATATCCTAGTCCAAGTGTCGCAGCATTTGATCAAAACTCTCGAACCAATGGCCGAGCAAGGGCTTGAAGTGGATATTAAAGAACTTTTAATGCGATATACTACAGACATTATCGGGTCGACTGCATTCGGTGTTGATTGTAACAGTCTTGATAACCCCAATACTGAGTTCAATCGGATGGTAGCGATGATTTTTAACAACCCGTCGTGGAAATTGTACAAAATGGCCCTGGAGGAGGGATTGCAAAATCCGGGGAATATTATCAAAATTGCGCATGATAACAAAGTCGTGCAAAAGTACTTCAATGATTTGGTGCGGGATACAATCGAATACCGCGATAAGAATAATATTGTCCGGGACGATTTTATGAATATTTTGATGCAAATGCAGTCGACTGGAATGGAATTCAAAGAAATTGTTGCTCAAGCTTTTCTGTTTTTTACCGCCGGTTTTGAAACCTCTTCGTCGACTATGAGCAACTGCATTCACGAACTGGCTCACAATCAGAGAATTCAAGACAAGTTGAGAGAAGAAATCCACGAGAAATTGGGGCGGGAGTCTTCAAAATACACCTATGATGAAGTTCTAGCCTTACCTTATTTGGATAAATGTGTCAAAGGTTCGATTTCAGTTTTTTTTGCAAAAAGTGAATTGAGTTTTTCGCAGAAACTTTGAGAAAATACCCACCAGTAGCAATGCTCAACCGAATTTGCGTCAAACCGTACAAAATTCCAGACACTGATATTGTGATAGATGTCAATACTCCGGTTATAGTTTCAGTTTTGGGTCTCCACAGAGACCCGGAATATTTTCCGGAGCCGTTAGAATTTGACCCCGAGAGGTTCAGTAGTGGTAATAAAGTTGCTCCTTTTACGTATTTACCTTTTGGTGATGGTCCTAGGAATTGCATTGGTAAAATAAATAAAAGTTTAGAACAATTTTTATACTTAAATTTTTAGGTTTGAGGTTTGGCCTGATGCAAACAAAGTTGGGTCTCGCGACTTTACTCAATGATTTTAAGTTTTTCCCAAGTCCTAAATCGCCTCGACATTTAGCTGTTGATCCAAGTACTACCACTCTTGTCTTTAGTGTTTTGAATGGAGTCCACACAAAAATTGTTAAAGTGTGACTTTAACTGTACCTTTTAGCATATTTTTTTGCTAAAGTATTTTTCTAAATAAAGAAATAAATAAATTTTTCTCTTTTTTTTTGTTAAAAAAAAACAACAGTGAAAAATCACAGTTTTACAACTTTCACAGTTATCTCTTTTGCTGGCCAAAAAGAAGAGAAAACATTGAGCTACAATTTCATTAAAAGACAGTCCTTCCTTGTCTCTGACTTCAAGCAACAGTGATAGAAAATCTTTCCAGACTATTTTATTTTCGTCTCTGTGTTTTACAGTTTTTTTTACTAAATCGACAAAAAATTATTCTTTTGATTTATCACTGGTAAACGCCTGGACAATGCCTCCCGGATTTTTTAGCCCTTCTAAAGCTATTGCTTTGATGACAATCCAAGTTGGGGGAATAAAAAGAGACATTTAGCTGTTGATCCAAGTACCACCACTCTTGTCTTTAATGTTTTGAATGGAGTCCACACAAAAATTGTTAAAGTGTGACTTCAACTGTCCCTTTCAGCATATTTTTTTGCTTTTTTTCTAAATAAAAAAATAAATAAATTTATTCTCATTTTTCTTTTGTTAAAAAAAACCAACAGTGAAAAATCACAGTTTTACAACTTTCACAGTTATCCCCTTTGCTGGCACCATAGCTAGTGATTTTGAGGGCGTATCATATTCCACAAATTTGGGAGTTTTTGAACTTGGCAGGAATCTAAATTGTGAGATAAGAGCAGCAATTCCCAGTTTAGTTTGAAGTTTTCCATAACGCATACCTGAAATTATCCAAACTAGCTCTAAATTTTGTAAATGAAACAAGAACTCACCAATGCAAAATCTAGGTCCATCTCCGAATGGCAAAAACGTGAAAGGGACATGCTCTTGAGCTTCACTGAACCTTTCAGGATTAAATTTCAGGGGGTCAGGAAAATATTCAGGGTCCCGTTGAAGTCCTAGTAGTGAAATTATAACGGGTGTACCTTCATCTATGACTATATCAGTGCCAGGGATTTTGTAGGGCTTAACACAAATTCGGTTAAGGAATCCCAAGACTGGGTACAATCTCAAGGTTTCTGCAAAATAAAACTGTGAATTTGGTACTGTCAAAACTGATTTTTTACCATTGAACACTTTATCCAAGTAGGGTAATTTGAAAATGTCCTCGTAGGTGTATTTCGTAAAATCGCTCCCCAAATTATCCAAAATTTCTTTTCTCAGTTTATCTTGTAAATCCTGGTGGTAGGCAAGCTGGTGGATGCAGTAACTTATCGTCTGTGAGGAGGTTTCAGCCCCGGCCAATAAGAACAGGAAGCTTTGGGCAGCAATTTCATTCAATGTCAAACCCTCTTTAACTCTGATTTCCAAAAGTAGGGACAAAAAATCCTTCCGGACAATTTTATTTTTGTCACGGTGATCTACACTTGTTTGGACCAGATCCATGAAGAACTTTTCGATCGATCGATTACTTAAAACCACCCGGAGCAAATTGCCCGGATTTTGAAACCCTTCAATTAATATCGTTTTGAAGAACAACCAGTTGGAGGGATTGAAGACATTTAAAACAACTTTCGACAACTCGTTTTCCGGATTCTCCAAAGTGTGTCCTTCCATTCCGAAAGCGGCGTTAAAAATAATGTCGGTGGTGAAATTCGCCGATGTGTATTTTATATTAATTTCCTCCTCTTTTTCCGCTTTTGGTTTTATAACGTTTATGAAGTTTTCAGTCATTTTGATGAAAATTTCGTACATGGATTTGAGTTTTCCTGAGGTGAATGTAGGGGAAAGCTTCATTCGGAGGCTTTTCCATTCGGTACCTCTCATGGAAAACAGGTGTGCACTTAGAGGGAAGTTTTGTTCATCAACGAAGACTCCTCGGTCAACAAAATGGTCAAAGTCAGTTGTGAGGATTGACTTGACAATTTCTGGGTCAATTGGGAAGTACACAGGGCCATTGAAGAAATATAATCCGGCATGTTTGTGTCCTCTGCGTTTCAATTCTTTGTAATAGTTTTCAATGGTGACGAAGAGATTTTCTTTTCCCAGGACCGGTTTAAGGATATTTCCAGCTGGGAATTTTGGGGGAATTGTGGGAACACCTTTCTTTTTCCAGTAGTTGAAGCAGTAAAGGTAGTACAAGTACCACGAAAGCAAAGATATCGTAATAAAAGTGCACAAAAGTTCAAACACTGTCGTGTTGTTTATTTCAAACTTAAACATGTTGCTGCAAGTTTACAACTGAATGAGTGTGTGCTCTTAGATATATATTGTCTTTGACCTATGACGTTCGTATCTTAAGAAAATAATGATGATTTTTATTTATGTTGCTTAAAATTTAAAATAATCACGACTTTGATTTTTAGTAAAAAAAATGTTTGTGATAGAACTGTTAAGCAATAAAATTTTAAGGTAATGACACTGCAATAATAATGTTTAGTTTATTTCGGAAGAAAATTTTTAAGACATTTATAATTTTAGAGCTTGTTTTTCAAAAATAAGGGACACTAAATAGTAAATCGTAGAAACCATTTTATTTACTTAAATAAGTTACAAGTTTTCTATTTTGACTGTTATGCCTTTTTCTGGAAACATTGCTAGCGATTTAGAAATTTTATCAAACTCTATAAATTCTGGAGTTTTTGGGCTTGGTTTAAACCTAAATTGTGACACTAGACAGGCAATTCCTAGTTTGGCTTGTAGTTGTCCATAACGTGCACCTGGAAATCAAAAATTGTATTACAAAAAAATAAAAAAATTAACAAAAACCATACCTATGCAAAACCTGGGCCCTTCCCCAAAAGGCAGATACGTGAAAGGAACGTGAGAATTATTCTCGCTGAATCTTTCAGGATCGAATTTCAAAGGGTCAGGGAAATATTCAGGATCTCGGTGAAGGCCCAGGACTGGAATTAGAACAGGGGTACCAACATCTAGTACTGAATCAGTTCCCGGAATTTGGTATGGTTTGACGCAAATGCGATTGAGGAAGCCCAAAACTGGGTATATTCTTAAGGTTTCTGCAAGGTTAATTCTAATTTTCAGATTTGCCCAATTTAAAATTTTACTCACCTTTGAAAACTTGGTCTAAATAAGGTAACTTAAAGATATTGTCATAAGTGTATTTTGTAAAATCACTTCCCATATTATCTAGAATTTCTTTTCGAAGTTTGTCTTGTATATCTTGATTATAAGCAAGGGAGTGAATACAGTAACTTATAGTTTGTGATGAGGTATCAAATCCAGCCAAAAAGAAGAGAAAACATTGAGCTACAATTTCATTAAAAGACAGTCCTTCCTTGTCCCTGACTTCAAGCAACAGTGATAGGAAGTCTTTCCGGACTATTTTATTTTCGTCTCGGTGTTTCACGGTTTTTTTTACTAAATCTACAAAAAATTCTTCTTTTGATTTATCACTGATAAAAGCCCGGACAATGCCTCCCGGATTTTTTAGCCCTTCTAAAGCTAGTGCTTTGATAACAATCCAAGTTGGGGGAATAAAAAGAGTGTTCGCTATTTTTGCCAATTTGCTATCCGGATTTTGTAAAGTGTTACTTTCAAGACCAAACGCTGTAGAAAAAATAATGTCTGCTGTAAAGTTATTAGTTACGTGTTTGATATTAATATCGTCTTTTCTCTCTGCTTTTGGTTTAAGTGTTTCTATGAAATTCTGTGTCATTTTCGTAAAAATTTCGTACATGGTTTTGAGCTTCCCGGAGGTGAATGTTGGGGAAAGTTTGGTCCGAAGCTTTCTCCATTTTGAGCCTTTTATCGAGAACAGGTGTGCACTTAGGGGGAAGTTTTTTTCGTCGACGAAAACTCCACGGTCGACGAAATGTTCGAAGTCTGTTGTCAGAATTGACTTGACAATTTCCGGGTCAATGGGGAGATATACAGGACCGTTAAAAAAATAAAGTCCGGCATGTTTGTATCCTTTTCGTTTGAACTCCCTGTAGTAGTTTTCAACAGTGATGAAAATGTTCTCTTTTCCGAGAACTGATTTCAGGATGTTTCCGGCTGGAAATTTAGGCGGATGTGTTGGAACTTGTTTTTTCTTCCAGTAATTGAAACAATAGAGGTAGTAAAGATACCATGACACCAAAGAAAATAAAATAATTATGCACAAAATTTCAAACATTTCTGTATTTTTTTGTCAAATTTAAACTTGTTACAATTAGAAATGTGACTAGTGTAGAAGTTTATAAAGCGTGTATTTATATAAACGCGTATTTTGCACAGTCACGCACTCGATTTAACATTAAAGATAAATAACTGATAAATGTGAACATCAAATCACTGTTTTATTAAGTTAATTGACTCTAAACAGATAAAAATAAATAAATAAATGACCAAGAAGAGCCATAACATTTTTAATAATATGAAACAATCAAATTGCAATTAAGTAACTGCTGAAAAGCTGACGACCTACAGTCACACCTTTCAATATTCATTAGCAGAAAATGAAAGCAACGTATTTCCCGCATATAAAAGCCAAAAATTGTTTGCTTTATTTTTATTTGTTGTGACAGTGTACAAACATGAAAGTTTTCGTAAGTAACTAATTTGGTGCTTTCTCAAAATTGATTATTTTAATTTAGGTGGCAACACTTTTCTTTTATTTTTTCGGAACGTCTTTGGCTTTATATCCAAGTGCCAATTATAAATCAGTGGTAACTAAAAGACCTCCAGTAGCAGAAAAACCGGAAGAAATCTACGGTCTACCTCACTTCAAAGTTCCATCGATTATTTACGGAATACCATCAAGGACATTCGATTTTGATGTAACTGATTTGTTGGTGGAAGTAAGCGACAGGGAAGAAGTTCCTCAAAAGGTATCCGAAGTTTACGGAGTACCACAGGTACCATCTACCTCTTACGGAGTACCAGTGCAAAAAGTTGCAGTACCGAAAAAACTGTTGGAAACTTATGGAGTACCCACCTTGCGTGCCACGGAATTCCTCGTTGGTGGTGACGTACTGTCTCAGAAACCACCAGTACCATTAAATTCCTACGGAGTACCAGTTGAAAATGTGATTTTCAAGGAACCGGCCGAAGTTTATGGGCTACCAGCTGTGCATTCAGCCGATTTTTTTGTTGAGAAACCGGTTGAAACTTACGGGGTACCACTTGTAACGAAGTTTGAAGTACCAGCGGTAGAATACGGGGTACCAGAAGTTGTGATTACGAAAAATTTTGAAACGTATGAGTTGCCAAAAGTACGCGTTCCTGTAATTGGAGTGCCAGAGAAACCTAGCGAGGAGTATGGGGTTCCGAAAGTGCGAGTACCTGCCACCGTTTATGGGGTACCATTTTAATTTTGAAAATCTTTTCATTAAAATAAAAATTTAGATACTTTAAATGTGTTTTTGGCAACGACCGAATGAAAAATTTTTGCATGTTGGATGACTTTTAATAGCATTTTTTGTGTTAAAATAAAAATACGCTATCTTATTTAATCAAAAATTTATGAAACTAATAGAATCTCTAGAATAACTTTTGGTACTTCAGCTGTGTACAAAAAAAAAACAATCTTAATAATGTATACCCAATTATTTAAAGAATTTATTCATCTGGTTCAAGAAACCAGAAATTATTGTTTTTAGGGAATTTACTTTACACAATACATGACATACTTTAATTGAAAACAAATTGTGAACAACACAGTTTTTACATTAGTAGGAAGAAACGGAATATATTTTTATTGGTTAATTAATGGTTAATTTGTCAATTAATTGACCTAATTTGAATAGATAGGTGATAGGTCACCAAAAACCGTTTTATGTTTTTACGGCCTGTAGTCGACTGTGAACGCTATAAAAATCCTGAAACCCGTAAAAAACTCTTTATGCGTCCTGCTAAGCATTCTAGTGGTAAACACTAAAGTAACCAGTGTTTTATGTTAAACAGAGCCCTGAATTATTTCCATTGCGGATTCTCTCTCGCATCCTTCTTGCAACACTATCTTCACATTTAATTTAAACGGGCAGTTTTCAGGCAATAAAAATGCACGCCTTCTGGTTTCATGAAAAACCGTCTTTTTATTTATTGCCTGCACCAGTTCTGACCCCAATTTCGCTGAAGCTTTCCCACAAACTCGCTCAGAGTTTTCCCACTCAAACACAAACGCTCGCCTACAATGGCGAGCTGGTTTTCAGGAGAAGATAAGTTTTTCTTCCGACCGAGAAATTTGTTACAATTCACGAAACATTTATACACATTAACATCGCAGGTTATTTATTTCGTCTGGCCCCTTTTAACTTTCGCATTTAGTTTATTGCCTCAGTTAGAGTCAGATTAGTGTTAAAAGGAATTATTAAATTTATTGTGTGGGGGTGGGGGAGGATTTCTTGCGGTTTTGAGACGGGGACGGCGAGCCCTGGGGGTGTTGCGCCGGTGAGGACGTGAGAAATCAGGTGCAGCCGAGTGGATAAATGGGGGCGCTTCGCTGGCTCGCAGTTTACAGATGGTAGTTTGCCATAAACAAACACCGAAAAATCAACAAAGGGTACCTATAAGCACCGAAAAACTGTATTTATAAGATAGGGTGTAATAATATGAAACACCCAAACATGGTATAAAAGTCGTTTTTTTTTCCAAACCAAGACATTTTAATTTGATAATTTACGTTTTGCGCAAAATAATTTCAAGTAAAAGCTTTGGAATATGTTTGTCTGAATTATTACGAAAGAAAAACAGTTTTAGTTCTCATCCGACAAGTCTGTAAATACACATTTGCTGTCCTAGAGCCCAGTTTGAATAATTGAATTACAAATGGTCTGAAACGTAAGCATGCAATTGCATCATTCTGAAAAATTGCCACGATCATAGGTGCAATAAAATGCAAAATTGAAACATAAAAATACAAATTTACCGCTGGAATAACGCTGACCAGTCCGTATACCCTCTCGTGTTATTTTTCTTTTCCCCAATTCGGAATTATTTTTATGGATATACCTTTTTATGTCCGGGGCGTCGAAATCGTTCTCTATAAAGATAAGATTTTATTCACTTACTTCGCCACTTTCACAATATTGCAAACAATTGTGAAATTTTTTTCTCTATTTGGTAAACAACAAAAATGTCGCTTTAATAAATCGCGGAAAGACACATCCATAATGCATAAGTTGGGGAGGCGCTGTAATAACAAGTCGAGATGTCCGATGGTCAAAGTCTAGAAGAGGTATAATTTTTGGAGTCAAGTAAAGCGGAAGGAAACGAGAAAATATGTTAGTCTCTCGAAGTGACAGCTTTAACAGAGCGGAGATAACGCGGAGGGGCCGATGATATAAATGCAAATCATTATTTTGTTTGTGTTGAGAAAAACAGAGAAAAACGGGTGCAAATTAATAAAAACGAATGGAAGTGTGTGGGCGAGGGTTGGACGATCATAACAATAACTTGAGAGGGTCCAAATTCCCTCAAGTGGTCGCAGATATGGAAATGAAATTACCGATGGTCAGTTTAGATCGAATGATAAAAAACTATTGTTCTGTGGAGACCAGAAATTGAATAACAAACAGTGCCTCCAGTGGGCTGTTACCCAAAAAAATAGTCTAATCCACGAAGATTGGCCTTCTTGACGATCGGTTTATCTGGAGATTTGTCGATATAATTAAAACCGTAAACAGGTGGGAAATCCGGATAAGCTCCCGGAATGTAAATTGAGACAAGGCAAGCGCGAAAATGCCTCGGATTATTTTATAAAGAACCTGGATTAAATTCCGCCATTTCCCGGATTCCATACGAAACATTACCTCAAAGACACCTAAAAAATAATTAGACTTGTTTTGAAACGTAGTGGTGGAGTTTATTTCGTTCCTCCGACGCATATATGGTCTTAACGTAATCCTCAATTTATATTACAAACAGGAAGTCATTTGCTTCTAAATTGGATTTTTTTATTTACTTTTATCTGTATGTCGAAGGCGTCATTTCTCTACGACTTGTCATTCCGCATAAGACAGGGGCGACTCGACACGAATTTAACTCCTGATGGGCTCATCGGATAGATGATGGAGATCAAAGGCTGAAGTAATCGAAAAGTTGTTTGTTTCAGGTTCTTCGATCGCTGAAGAGGGCTGAAAACGTGAAAATTTATCTAAATATTTTGAATTGATGGCTGCAAGAGGCTTTGTCAGATGCAGATGATGAAATATAACGCGTTCAGACGACGTAATATAGCAATGTTGCCATAACCAGTAGCTTCTCCTTACATAAATCAAGCGCTTATTAAGTCAAGTGGTTACGTTGGTAAGAATGGGTCGTTACCGACGACACCCTTGCTAAAAAATAATATATAAGCTGTCATGTCGACGCAATATACCCCAATCTGGCTTTTCCTTTCTAATGGCCCACCTAAAAAAATGTCTGATTTGGAGTTTCATTGTGGAATGGAGCAATTAATCGAGTGAATGATTTTGTTTTGCTATCCGTTGTAGCAATTACTTCGTCGTCGTTTGAATGTTTGCTTTCCAATTACGTTTCGAATACACGATTATTACTCGGATGAGCGGTAAATAACGAGGTAAACGTAGCGATAATTTGAGCAGGATCAACGAATGCGATCTGAATCATTCGTGGTACTGATGAGAATTGGCAAGTGTTCGAATCGACCGGGCGGAATTGTAAAAATAGTCTGTGGTGGAAACAAAAATTGCCAAAGGGCATCATGCAAGTAGTTCCAACGCACAAACCGCAACGATTTTACGCCGAATTAATCCCAAACGTAAACGGGATGACTTGTGATTGTTATAATTTCAATGCGGAAAAGCGCTGCGAGCGAGCGACGTGCAGGGATACCCACGGAGTGGATTCCATGCAAAAATCTCAATGTAACACAAAATACATTTTTTTTTAAATGAACAATCATTTCTTGGGGCTTTAATAATTTTTTTTTAATTTTTTCAAAATTTGTTACAAATTTAATTTTTTTCAAGTGTCATCCCGTGTATCGATTTTTTTCATTTTTGCAGAAAATGAAGCTTATTAAAAGGGCATTTGTCTGTAAAAAATAGTGGGACGACAATCATTTCTTGGAGCTTTAACGATTTTTTTTTATTTTTTCAAAATTCGTTAGTAATACAAAGTTTATTTTTTTCACTTGTCATTCCGTGTATACATTTCGTTCATGCAGAAAATGAAGCTTATCTAAAGGGCAATTGACTGTAAAAAAAATAGTCGGGGAACAATCATTTCTTGGGGCTTTAATGTATTTTTTTAATTTTTTCAAAATTCGTTAGTAAAACAAACTTTATTTTTTTCAAGTGTCGTCTTGTGTATCGATTTTTTTTTTATTTTTGCAAAAAATGAAACTTATTGAAAGGGCATTTGACCCTGAAAATTTGTTAACAATACAAACTTAATTTTTTTCAATTGTCATCTTGTGTTTTTTTTTCATTTTTGCGGAAAATAAGAGGCATTTGATTGTAAAAAATGGTGAGGGGACAATCATTCCTTGGGGCTTTAATAGATTGAATTTTTAAACATTTTTTCAAAAATTGTTAACAATACAAACTTTATTTTTTTCAACTGTTATCCCGTGTATCGATTTTTTTCATTTTTGCAGAAAATAAAGCTTATTAAAAGGGCATTTGACTGAAAAAAATGGTGGGAGGACAATCATTCCTTGGGGTTATAATGAATTTTTTTCATTTTTTCGAAATTTATTATTAATACAAACTTTATTTTTTTCAAGTGTCATCCTGTCTATCGATTTTTTTCATTTTTGCAGAAAATAAAGCTGATTGAAAGGGCATTTG